TGAGAATGGCCACCCCAGCTCGCCGCCTCTCCCCGCGGGAAACTCCAGAAAAGTGGAGCGTCCAACCCCTCTCAAGGAGTTGGGTTCCAGAGCCCAAGCTGTGTGTGGAGGTGAGGCCGACTATCTCTAGTCGGTATCGCTCAACCTCCCCCACGAGCTCGGGCTCCTTCCCCCCCAGTGAGGTGACATTCCACGTCCCAAGAGCCAGATGTTGTGTGTGCGGACTGGGTCGCCGAGGTCTCCGCCTTCGACTGCCGCCCAGTCCTCTCTGCACCGCTTCACCACGGACCCCTCTGCAGGTGGTGGGCCCACAGGAGGGACTGCCCACGTCATCCCTTCGGGCTGAGCCCGGCCGGGCCCCGTGGGCTAAGGCCCGGCCACCAGGCGCTCGCATACGGGCCCCGACCCCAGGCCTGGCTCCAGGGTGGGGCCCCGGCTGCGCCATGCCGGGCGACGTCACTGTTTTCGTGTTAGTGCTGTCCATGGTGTCTTCTGGACTTCCCAGCAAAATAGCCACATTAAAATCTTGGCCAATCCCGCGGAACCTTAAAGAACTCCGGTCATTCCTCGGCTTCGCAGGGTATTACCGGAGGTTTGTTGAGGGGTACTCCTCGATTGTCAGACCCCTCAATGAGTTAACCTCTGGTTATCCTCCCAGTCAAACGAGGGCAAAACAGGCAGTTAAGACCCAGCCTTATCTTGACCCAAAAGAGAACTTTGGGGGACGCTGGACGTCCGCTTGTCAAGAGGCTTTTGAAGCCATAATCCAAAAGCTCACTATAGCCCCAGTCCTTGCGTTTGCAGACCCAAGCAAACCTTACATCTTGCACACAGATGCTTGTTCTACTGGTCTTGGGGCAGTGTTGTACCAAGAGCATGAAGGACGCAACAGAGTGGTTGCGTTTGCCAGTAGAGGGCTGTCGCGCAGTGAAGCCCGATACTCAGCTCATAAGCTGGAGTTTTTGGCCCTGAAGTGGGCAGTGACGGAAAAACTGAGCGACTACCTATACGGTTCGACTTTCACTGTTGTTACCGATAGTAATCCGCTCACATACCTGCTAACAACAGCCAAACTGGACGCAACAAGCTACAGGTGGCTTGCTGCGCTTTCTACATTCACCTTCAAGATTGTCTACAGAGCAGGAAGGCTGAATGCTGACGCAGATGGACTCTCTCGGCGACCTCATAGACAACTCCCAGAAGACCCTCTGTCCCAAAAGGAGCAAGAGAGGATCCTGAGGTTCACTGAACAACATCTAGACAGTCCATCCTGTGTTTCTATTGATGAGCAATCAGTCCAGGCAATATGTGACCGGCAACTTGTGTACAGCACGCCCGACAAGCAACAAAGTGCAGCATATGTCCAAGCTCTGGCCATTAGTGTTGAGAGTCTGCCAGACAGTTTTGTTGACGATTTGCAGTTCTCTTCACAGGTCATGGTCTCCTTTTCTAATGCTGAGATTGCGGCCAAACAGAGGGCAGATCCCATTATTCAGCACCTCATTGTCCAGTTGGAAAGAGGAGATAGTCCACCACCATCTCTGAGGGAACAACTCCCAGATCTGCCACTGCTCATGAGGGAGTTGACACGTCTGGAGCTTCAAAACGACATTCTAGTCAGAAAAAGGAATGTCAACGGTGAGCCCACCTACCAACTCGTCCTTCCAGAGGAGTGTCGATCAGAGGTCCTTTTCCAGCTGCACGATCAAATGGGCCATCTAGGCACAGAAAGAACACTCGACCTCGTTCGATCACGCTTTTACTGGCCACGGATGTCCATTGATGTCAACAATAAGATCAAGGCGTGTGAGAGATGCGTGCGGAGAAAGACATTACCTGAGAGAGCCGCACCTCTTGTAAACATCAGAACCTTGAGACCGCTCGAGCTTGTCTGTATGGATTTTCTTTCCATCGAACCAGATCGGAGCAATACGAAAGACGTACTTGTCATCACTGACCATTTCACCAAGTACGCTGTGGCGGTCCCAACTCCCAATCAGAGAGCGAAGACAGTAGCTAAAGCCCTGTGGGACAACTTCCTGGTCCACTATGGAATACCGGAAAGGCTCCATAGCGACCAAGGGCCAGACTTTGAATCACATACCATCAAAGAGCTCTGTCAGATAATGGGAATCCACAAGAGTAGAACCACTCCTTACCACCCCCGTGGCAATCCCGTGGAGAGATTTAATCGCACGCTCCTGAACATGTTGGGCACCCTGCAGGATCAGGAAAAAGTTCATTGGCGAGACTTTGTTAAGCCTCTGGTGCATGCTTACAATTGCACCCGCCATGATGTTACTGGCTACTCCCCTTATGAACTAATGTTCGGCCGACAGGCACGCTTGCCTGTTGACTTGGCCTTTGGCCTCACAGTGTCTGGGAACCAGTTTACTTCCCATTCACAGTATGTTGAAAAGCTGAAGTCCCATCTCGAAGAAAGCTACCGTATTGCGTCTGCTGATGCAGAGAAGGTTATGAAGAGAAACAAGCTTAGATTCGATAAGCGAGTCACTACTTCCGAACTGTCGGTGGGGGATAGAGTTTTGGTTAGGAACGTCAAGCTCCGAGGCAAGCACAAGATCGCAGACAAGTGGGAACCAGACGTATATATTGTCGAAAAGAGAGCCGGCACTCTTCCGGTATATACTGTCAAACCAGAGGGAAAAGATCGACCCCTAAGGACCCTACATCGCGATTTACTGCTGCCTTGTGGCTATTTGTCAACCGCCCAAACAGCTTCCAAGCCAACCAATCCGAAACAGCCAGTGTTGTCCACCAAACCGACAACCCCACGTGCCTCCGAAGTTCAACAATCTGAAACTGAATATGATCTTTCTGATGTGTATCTACCTAACTTACCAGATACCGACTACCCTCCTGCGAAATTCACACATGTGATTGACTTACCTGTTTCTTTGCCTCCAGTAGTCCCTGTCACGGTACCAGTGATACAGCCTGGCCAGCTGTCCCCAAGTACTCCAGAAAAGGATTCTGTTGGTGTGGTGTCAGATCTGGAGGGTGCACTTGAAATTCCTGTTGATCCGGAACCTGAGCTAGTGCCAGAGAGGGATACTGATGCTTTGGAGCAGCCAGAGGAACCAACCTCCTCTACGTCAGGCTCTCCTCAAGCACTAGTACCCCCCTGTATATCCAGTGAGCCAGAGTCACCCTCTGTATCCGACGTGTCCAGTCCAGACTCTGAACCACGACCCCAACGTCCCACTCGAACCCGGCAACCTCCCGATCGGCTGCAATATTCGAGACTTGGAAATCCGGTAATGCGTAGTATTCAGAGTCTGTTCCAAGGATTGAACACTGTCATTGCGTCTGCTTTGCAAATTGAGGAGGCTGGATCCACAACCACTCCCCAAGGCAGAGTGTTGTGCCGCCAGCCATCTCCATGTACGAGGCCGAACATGAGTATAGGGGGGGAACCTGTGACCCGCATTTCATTACCATGATTAACATGCTTAACTGAAACGGCTTTGGTGTCTTAAAGACTTTTATTTTGTAAGCCAACTTCCCCCAAAAGCGCCCGTCTCTTTAACTATCAGCTGCGCGCATCTCCTCCCCCCTCCCGTCTCCGTTGTGGCTGCAGCATTGACAGACGGCATGTGAGAGTAGACTTGCTGAAACTCTCCAATCGCGCATTATTGACACTTCATAATTAGGTGAGTCTTTTGCCATGGCCGAAGAAGCCTAATCCTAAATGCATTTGTTTATAAGAGATCGCTAAGTACTGTTTTTGAGACGTTTTAGCATAGTCGCTAATGTGATGCCATTCTCCCATAGAGCCGCCATGTTCTTTTAAGTAGCGGGCCATGCATGGTGTGTCGTGTTTGCCCCAAGTTACTCAGGTAAACCCGCTCTTTTCCTTTTTATCAATAAGCCGTATTGTTAGGCAACTCTTTAGTTTAGGACATGTTTAACTGGATCTGTGGTCCCAATATGCTGTCTTACTTTTGCAGGCTCTTAAGGGCAGTCAGCATATTATTAATGGAGTTACTGTGCGCTCCAATGAGACGCGTCTGTGTGTTTATTGTTTGTTGCGCAACACTTTTATTTATCAACTCTGCTTGAGTATTATGACGTAAAACAGGATTACTGATCATTCATATTTTTAATGTCAATTATTGATGATTAGTGAAAGATATTTTAGTGCACTTCTACAACCTTGTTTAATGAGTTATTTTCGGTAGATCTGATGAACTAGTGTTCATACATTTAATTTTTCTGAGAAATCATGATTATTATTTATACTATTAATACTATGTGTATTAGTATTACAAATAGAATAACCTGTATAACAAAAAATGTTATACCAATCTTCTCCTTGTATAGCCTTAATGCAATGTTACTTATTTATGTTTTTGGCCTCAGGTCAGGTTTTTGTAATGGGATGGACTAACCCAATGAACTGAGCCTTTCTACACCACGACTCAACAAATGGCGAGCTAGACAACGACGCGGTAGGACAAACTGTCTATTGCTTCCTACACGCTTTTTGTGGATTACTTTTCTTTTCATCCTCCTCGAGCGGAACTTAAATAGCCTTGCAAGTAGCAAGCATTTTTTTGTTGGACTTTTACCTAAAGACTTTGTGGTGGAACCTGTTTTTTTCCATACACCTGCAATCTGGTGTATGGGTTTTTTTTGTGTGCAATAATATTTCATCTGTTGGACTATTATAATACAATTCTTTATCACGTAGATATCAGTTGTCTTTATGTGCACCTCAGGCTCCTTGCCGATCCACCCTCTTCTGCTCACTACACTGCTATTCCGTTAATAGCCAAAGTCAGATCTTGCGTAGCCACTAGCTAGCGTTACATTTAGTCCTGGTTTAGTCCTGGTTTAGTCCTGGTTTAGTCCTGGTTCAGTTCTGGTTTAGTCCTGGTTTAGTCCTGGTTCAGTTCTGGTTTAGTCCTGGTTTAGTCCTGGTTCAGTTCTGGTTTAGTCCTGGTTTAGTCCTGGGTTTTGTCCCTTAGACTACGTACCACTTTTCCCAGGAAGAGGGGGCTTCCTGCGGACAGCGTGCAGACCAGACCCAGGCTCTTGATGAACATGTTGCTGAGGGAGAGGTACTGCGGCAGTTCAAAACCCGCCAGCAGGGCGCGCACTTCTGGGATTCCTGAGCCTTTGAGAACACATACAGCAGAGGCATCCAAATAATAAGTAAAAATGAACTAAATATAAGTTTTCTTGTTTCTTTTTCTCTCTATATAAATCCACTTTTATAGAATTACTTTGCTTTCATCTTTCAAAGTATTTAGTTGTAATGTTTGTGTCAGTTTCAGCTGGTGGTGTGCCATTTCTACAACATTTATGGATATTCATAGACATTGGTCAACTCCCTGTGGACCAATACCAAGCCCCGGTGATCCAAGATGGCGGCTTTTTCAAATCAGTGGCTTGTGCTCAGTAGCCGTGGATCTATAATAATATCTGGATAGGGTAATACTAGCTTATAGCTGTCCAACCAACGAGCACAGGGGGCAAAATGTAAAAATGTCCCATAGAACTCAATGTAAACTAAAACAGCTCAACCTCAGCTGACAGAGAACCTGACAGAGAACCTGACAGAGAACCTGACAGAGAGCCTACAGCTTTCATAAAGGAGGATTTTGTGGGAATTTTAGTGTCCCTTGTCATCCTGAACTCTTTTCTCGGGTAAATCCTTCAGTTTTCTATAAATCTACATTTTAATCAGAGACATACTTGTATGTGGTCCAAAGCATCATGGGAGCTCGTCCACTGCGCAGAACCGGGAGGACCAAAGAAATGACCAAATATGGGCGAGTTCCTCTAATCTCTCAGTCCCCGTGTCTGTCCCATGCACTACTGAGCACAAGCCATTGATTTGAACTGAATTTGGCGGCCATCTTGGATCACTGGGGCTTGTCAGTAGCGCATTAGCGGAACTCGTCCATATTTGTGCATCGTCTTGGTCCTTCTGGTTTTGCACATTGGACGAGCTCCCATGATGCTTTGGAGTTTCTGGCTCTCGTGCACGGAGAAGCTCGGCCATGTGCCATCCTGACCAATCAGAGCTGCCGATCAGAGCGGAGCAAGAGCTAGAAGAAAACAAGCTAAGTTTGTTGCATTCAAATTTGAGACAACACTAAAATCCCCACACATTCCAAAGTTTGTGAAAGCTGTAGGTTCTCTGTCAGGTTCTCTGCCAGCTGAGGTCTGTTTTAGTTTACATTGAGTTCTATGGAGAAAATGTCTGTCTAGTGCACGTGAATTTAGTCGTGTTTGGTCTGAAGCACCGCGAGAATCCCCCGAGCACATGGTAAGTAAGTAAGTAAGTAAGTTTTTATTTATATACCGCCTTTTTACTGCAGATCTGAGTCTCAAAGCGGTTTACAATTGTTAATTTTTGGGCATTAGTCTCTCACTCCACACAGAGATGGGAGTGGGGTCGCCGAACAGGAGGCGCATGCCAGAACTATTGGACATATTTTTAGTGGTAGGGGAAACCGGAGTACCCGGAGGAAACCTACACAGACACGGGGAGAACATGCAAACTCCACTCAGAAAGGCCCTGGTCCGACCGGGATTCGAACCCAGGACCTTCTTGCTGAGAGGCGAGAGTGCTATCCACTCAGCCACCGTGCCGTGGTGTTTGATTCTCTGATCTGTGTTCGCGATTTCAACAGTTTCAATCAAGTGTTTTTGACCCAAAAGATGTGCCGCAGCGACAAAAAGGTTGGGAAACACTGGTGTAAAGAAGGCTCGCTGTTATGTGGGTAATTACTTCAGCATAATTCAACCCCTGGTCTCACTTTTCTTACCAGTGGAGAAAGGACAGATGTGATGAGAGAGGAAGGAGGCCACTGCACAGAGGCATGCTGGGTAAAGGGTCCAGCATAGAAACTGGAGGAGGACACTGCCTTCCAGATGTGCATAGAGCTGCTGGTGAGCTGCAACAACAAACAATACATTAGACATTAAACAATACATTCAACAGGTCAACAGGTACTAATCACAATATTCTGTTTAATAACCTATTATCAGTATGTGTGGTACTGTACCTGTATGTATGACTACTGAAGATGGTGAATCGATACATAAATTGTTTGAGAAAAGAAATAACCCATGGATGAAGTTTGAGTCCGCTGTAGCTGGGGTCGAGGTGAACCCGTCTGGTTTGGTCACAAATGCACAAGCCACGAATTATGATCCTGTTTTATTGTGTATTAATTGTTTCCTTGTGTGTTGCTGCAGTATCCAAGCATTCATCTATCTATCTATGTATCTGTCTATCTGTGTGTGTGTGTGTATGTATGTATGTATGTGTGTGTGTATGTATGTATGTGTGTGTGTGTGTGTGTGTGTGTGTGTGTGTCTTTCTGCTGCTCCTCTGAGATAATAAAGATACCTTGAACACAACACTCGAGGCTGTGAAATGAGGTTGTTTAAGATAAAAATCCAGTGCTGTTACCGTTAATGACCTTGCTCACACTGAGGTCCAGGAGGACACTGAGGAGAGAGGTCAGGACTCCGAGAGCAGCAAAGCAGTACCACTCCAGTCCACACAGGGTCTCCATACACAACTTCAGCTTGAGCAGCCACACTGCACACACCATCCATCACTCATCCAAAGAACAACAAGCCTTTTTACAGCTTTGAAATCTCTGGAAATTGAGCTATTGAGTATTATTACTGCGTTAGGTTTTGTTCAGCACTTTGAATTGCCTTGTGTATGAATTGTGCTATATAAATAAACTTGCCTTGCCTTGCCTTGCCTTACTGCACTAGCTTCCGTCATCACCGTGTGTGGAATGATTGGAACAATATCTGAACTCTGAACATTGTAAAGCTCTTTGGGCGACCTTGGTCTGTAAAATGCACTATATAAATAAACATGACTTACTTACTTACATTATTACACATCCACTCATCTGATATTTCTGTCATTCACGGGTCACTTCACCTGCTGCTATTGTTACTAGTCTTGTGTTTCATTAAACTGGCCTGCAGGGGGCGCATGAGCAGAGATGGGACAGTTTTGCTCCCATTGAAAACCATGTAAAGTCTGTTTTGGAGTCAAAGGCTCTCCTCCTGTGCAGTGTACGGTTGTTGGAACAGTCTTAATCTGGGACACTCAATTCTAAGGAAGTACTCACAAATATTTCTCATAAGAGTCTTGATTTTGGGCATTTTGGGAAAGAAAACAGAAGATATTGCTGTGTTTCATTGGGGTGGCCTGCAGGGGGCGCTTATCTGGGAAAGCCTTGATCCACCTCGCCCGCCTCATTCCAGTGATGTTTTTAAAGTGTCCTCCTTTATATGAGACCACAGTTGGAACAAGAACAAACTCTGGTCTTTCTCTCTATTTGTGCGGTTGCTACAAACGTTCACCGCACAAAAAGATGGCATTTTGACAGCGCTTCTTCTTCTACTATATCTCCGTGTATAAACCACTTCTTCTTCTACTAAATCTCCGTGTGGAAAACCACTTCTTATTCTACTATATCTCCGTGTATAAACCACTTCTTCTTCTACTATATCTCCGTGTATAAACCACTTCTTCTTCTACTATATCTCCGTGTATAAACCTCTTCTTCTTCTACTATATCTCCGTGTATAAACCACTTCTTCTTCTACTATATCTCCGTGTATAAACCACTTCTTCTTCTACTATATCTCCGTGTATAAACCACTTCTTCTTCTACTATATCTCCGTGTATAAACCCGGCAGACTGCAGCGCCAGGATACGTCACGTCCTGTCCTACGTTTGTTATTCACGCCACTGCCCTGACGTCATATGAAACCCAAGAATTTTTTATTCTGCTCGTATTCTCTGCTGCTAAAGTACTAAATATACTTCTGTAAATACCTAAAAACTAAGTGCAATTTTCGCTCCGAAGTTTTAGCTTGTTTATTTAATTTCATCATCTTTGTTATTTTATGATCTATTATCTCAAATAATAGACCCTGTTTGTTGTGTGCAATCTGAGTGTTCTTCGATTCTGTTCAATTTATTCTCGTATCGTCCTAAATCTCAACAGTTTTTATCTCAGAGGACTTTACAAAACCGTCGAAATCGTCAACAACAGATCAGAGAATCAAACAGTTCAGCTGGCACCATTACAGCTGAATAGACAAGAGTTTTGTCAACAACAAATCTATAACCAACACCTTTTTCACAAAGATAGAAATCCTGGTTTTATTCCTTGTTTTGTGGTCGTACCTTTAACTGTTGTTGTACCTTTGACTATGGTTGTACCTTTGACTCTGGTCCTGGTGGGGTCTTGGTCCTACCTTTGACTGTGGTCCTGGTGGGGTCTTAGTTGTACCTTTGACTATGGTCCTGGTGGGGTCTTGGTTGTACCTTTGATAGTGGTCCTTGTGTGGTCTTGGTTGTACCTTTGACTATGGTCCTGGTGGGGTCTTGGTTATACCTTTGACTCTGGCCCTGGTGGGGTCTTGGTTGTACCTTTGACCATGGTCCTGGTGGGGTCTTGGTAGTACCTCTGACTCTGGTCCTGGTGGGGTCTTGGTTGTAAATTTGACTGTGGTTCTGGTGGGGTCTTGGTCGTACCTTTGACTCTGGTCCTGGTGGGGTCTTGGTTGTACCTTTGACTCTGGTGCTGGTGGGGTCTTGGTCGTACCTTTGACTCTGGCCCTGGTGTGGTCTTGGTCGTACCTTTGACTGTGGTCCTGGTGGGTTCTTGGTGGTATCTTTGACTCTGGCCCTGGTGTGGTCATGGTCGTACCTTTGACTCTGGTCCTGGTGGGGTCTTGGTCGTACCTTTGACTGTGGTCCTGGTGGGGTCTTGGTTGTATCTTTGACTCTGGTCCTGGTGGGGTCTTGGTCGTACCTTTGACTCTGGTCCTGGTGGGGTCTTGGCAGGACCTCCATGTCTGAGGGAGCAGGGCAGTCTCAGCGTCCCCACAGTCAGCTCCTCTCCTCGGGGTCTTCATCACACTGGGCTCCTCCATTCGGTGACAGTTTTCTTTGTGTCTGTGCAGGTTTCCTCCGGGTGCTCCAGTTTCCCCTACCACTAAATACATGAATAGTTTTTCTCAGTGTCTTTGGTGCATTTCTCACATCACTCTTCACATTTGCACAACAGTTCATGCATTACTCAGAACAATTAGTGCAAACTGCCAAACCTCCTGGAAAACCTGTAAAAGTCACTTTCTCAAAATGAAAAGTGAATTCCTCAAAAGCAAGTCTTCATGTCCATTAAACTGTCAGTGTCAGTATGAACAACAGTCAGTATGAACAACAGTCAGTGTGAACAACAGTCAGTATGAACAAAAGTCAGTATGAACAACAGTCAGTATGAACAACAGTCAGTATGAACAACAGTCAGTATGAACAACAGTCAGTATGAACAACAGTCAGTATGAACAACAGTCAGTATGAACAACGGCCAGTGTGAACAACAGTCAGTATGAACAACAGTATGAACAACAGCCAGTATGAACAACAGTCAGTATGAACAACAGTCAGTATGAACAACAGTCAGTATGAACAACGGCCAGTATGAACAACGGTCAGTATGAACAACAGTCAGTTTGAACAACAGTCAGTATGAACAACAGTATGAACAACAGTCAGTATGAACAACAGTCAGTGTGAACAACAGTCAGTTTGAACAACAGTCAGTATGAACAACAGTCAGTATGAACAACAGTCAGTATGAACAACAGTCAGTATGAACAACAGTCAGTATGAACAACAGTCAGTATGAACAACAGTCAGTATGAACAACGGTCAGTATGAACAACGGTCAGTATGAACAACAGTCAGTATGAACAACAGTCAGTATGAACAACAGTCAGTTTGAACAACAGTCAGTATGAACAACAGTCAGTATGAACAACGGTCAGTATGAACAACGGTCAGTATGAACAACAGTATGAACAACAGTCAGTATGAACAACAGTATGAACAACAGTCAGTGTGAACAACAGTCAGTTTGAACAACAGTCAGTATGAACAACGGTCAGTATGAACAACAGTCAGTATGAACAACAGTCAGTATGAACAACAGTCAGTATGAACAACAGTCAGTATGAACAACGGTCAGTATGAACAACGGCCAGTATGAACAACGGTCAGTATGAACAACAGTCAGTTTGAACAACAGTCAGTATGAACAACAGTATGAACAACGGTCAGTATGAACAACAGTATGAACAACAGTCAGTATGAACAACAGTCAGTGTGAACAACAGTCAGTATGAACAACAGTATGAACAACAGTCAGTATGAACAACAGTCAGTGTGAACAACAGTCAGTATGAACAACAGTCAGTATGAACAACGGTCAGTGTGAACAACGGTCAGTGTGAACAACAGTCAGTATGAACAACAGTATGAACAACAGCCAGTATGAACAACAGTCAGTATGAACAACAGTCAGTTTGAACAACAGTCAGTTTGAACAACAGTCAGTATGAACAACAGTCAGTTTGAATAACAGTCAGTATGAACAACGGTCAGTATGAACAACGGTCAGTATGAACAACGGTCAGTATGAACAACGGTCAGTATGAACAACGGTCAGTTTGAACAACGGTCAGTTTGAACAACAGTCAGTATGAACAACGGGTCAGTATGAACAACGGGTCAGTATGAACAACGGGTCAGTATGAACAACAGTCAGTATGAACAATAGTCAGTATGCACAACAGTCAGTATGAACAACGGTCAGTATGAACAACAGTCAGTTTGAACAACGGTCAGTATGAACAACAGTCAGTATGAACAACAGTCAGTATGAACAACGGTCAGTATGAACAACGGTCAGTTTGAACAACGGTCAGTATGAACAACAGTCAGTATGAACAACGGTCAGTATGAACAACAGTCAGTATGAACAACAGTCAGTATGAACAACAGTCAGTATGAACAACAGTCAGTATGAACAACAGTCAGTATGAACAACGGTCAGTATGAACAACGGCCAGTATGAACAACGGTCAGTATGAACAACAGTCAGTTTGAACAACAGTCAGTATGAACAACAGTATGAACAACGGTCAGTATGAACAACAGTATGAACAACAGTCAGTATGAACAACAGTCAGTGTGAACAACAGTCAGTATGAACAACAGTATGAACAACAGTCAGTATGAACAACAGTCAGTGTGAACAACAGTCAGTATGAACAACAGTCAGTATGAACAACGGTCAGTGTGAACAACGGTCAGTGTGAACAACAGTCAGTATGAACAACAGTATGAACAACAGCCAGTATGAACAACAGTCAGTATGAACAACAGTCAGTTTGAACAACAGTCAGTTTGAACAACAGTCAGTATGAACAACAGTCAGTTTGAATAACAGTCAGTATGAACAACGGTCAGTATGAACAACGGTCAGTATGAACAACGGTCAGTATGAACAACGGTCAGTTTGAACAACAGTTAGTATGAACAACGGGTCAGTATGAACAACGGGTCAGTATGAACAACGGGTCAGTATGAACAACAGTCAGTATGAACAATAGTCAGTATGCACAACAGTCAGTATGAACAACGGTCAGTATGAACAACAGTCAGTTTGAACAACGGTCAGTATGAACAACAGTCAGTATGAACAACAGTCAGTATGAACAACGGTCAGTATGAACAACGGTCAGTTTGAACAACGGTCAGTATGAACAACAGTCAGTATGAACAACGGTCAGTATGAACAACAGTCAGTATGAACAACAGTCAGTATGAACAACAGTCAGTTTGAACAACGGTCAGTATGAACAACGGTCAGTATGAACAACGGTCAGTATGAACAACAGTCAGTATGAACAACAGTATGAACAACAGTCAGTGTGAACAACAGTCAGTTTGAACAACAGTCAGTATGAACAACAGTCAGTATGAACAACGGTCAGTATGAACAACAGTCAGTATGAACAACAGTCAGTATGAACAACGGCCAGTGTGAACAACAGTCAGTATGAACAACAGTCAGTGTGAACAACAGTCAGTATGAACAACGGTCAGTATGAACAACAGTCAGTATGAACAACAGTCAGTATGAACAACGGCCAGTGTGAACAACAGTCAGTGTGAACAACAGTCAGTTTGAACAACAGTCAGTATGAACAACAGCCAGTATGAACAACAGTCAGTATGAACAACAGTCAGTTTGAACAACAGTCAGTGTGAACAACAGTCAGTATGAACAACAGTCAGTTTGAACAACAGTATGAACAACAGTATGAACAACGGTCAGTATGAACAACAGTATGAACAACAGTATGAACAACAGTCAGTATGAACAACAGTATGAACAACAGTCAGTGTGAAAAACAGTCAGTTTGAACAACAGTCAGTGTGAACAACAGTCAGTATGAACAACAGTCAGTTTGAACAACAGTATGAACAACAGTATGAACAACGGTCAGTATGAACAACAGTATGAACAACAGTATGAACAACAGTCAGTATGAACAACAGTATGAACAACAGTCAGTGTGAAAAACAGTCAGTTTGAACAACAGTCAGTATGAACAACAGTCAGTATGAACAACGGTCAGTATGAACAACAGTCAGTATGAACAACAGTCAGTATGAACAGTATTCAAATGGATTAGTCATGATTTATAGTGACACTTTACTCTCTGTGTTTTCAATGCATCCAAAAACAAAATTGTTCAACTAGTTCAACAATGTGTTAGAAAGACTATTCTGAAGTGATACGTATGTTTCATTCTGACGGACACGACAGAAGCAAATGATAATGTTATAAAACAGCAGAGATTTGTATGAAAGTAACTGAAACATGAACAAAAGCATTTGTAAAGTGTTCAAAGGAGAAACTGCTGCGATGATGTCACACATGACTCAATGTTGTGGAGGTTGAACTCATAGTTTTGAGAATTTAAAGTCTGAGAAATGCACCAAAGCCACTGAGAAAAACTGTAACAACCAGTGCTTTACACAGATATTTAACATCCAAATAAAATATCATAACATAAATAACTTACCTTTTGCAGAGAACTGAATCGTCTCGTTTGTGCCGCTGCGGTTTGGATTGTGGCGTGTTGAGTTATGGGTGGTCACGGTCGATCGGTGACCTACATTAACTTTCTTAAGGACAGAGTGCCCTTCATGTAATAGCCCCGCAAGTGTTCTCAATGCTCCAGTGAGTAGTGAGATCATGTGGGGGAAAAAACAAAATGACCACAGGTACAAAAGGGCCTGCACGACATTGGAAGAGGCCCATTTCCATTCTAAGCCTAGATTTAATTTGGACTGGGATATTTCTTTACCGCTCTTTCACTGCCACCGATCTCAGCCTGTCTCAACACAGCAGCTGCAGCCTTTACCACAATCTTTTTTTTTATGTGTTATTTTTTATTTAGGTCATTACAACAACAACAACAACTAAAAAAATAACTATGAAGAAGAAAGAATTAAGAAATAAACCATTTCTATCATACAGTATATTGAGGAGATGCGTCTGCCTCCAATGCATGTCTCTATATCTGGGCTTAAAATGCAAACGGTGTAAGGTGTTAAAATAATTCAGGTTTGGGAAAAATATTAACAGTCTTTTTCCGCAGTTCAAACTAATGTGCCACTACTGGAAAATGTTGAAAAAAATTGCATTTGCGCATTTGTTAGCTGCACTAGCCCCATTCATTTAAGAAGTGCATTCAAAAGTCCACAGCGGCTAAACTAGACTGGTCCAAAAAAAATAAAACCTCGGCATTGACAACATCTGGAACCAGGAGCCACTTTTGGACCATGCTGTAAAGATGTTTTTGAGAGGAAAGAAGGCGCCATACAAGAGCATTGGGTAATTCTCTTTCCGGGTACACCCCCACAGCAAGTTTGGAACCTTTTGTGATGCAACATTTAGCTGCTATTTGACAGAAATGTGTAGATAGTTCTTTTTTAGTTTTAGTAAAGCTGGGATTAGTCTCAAACTGCAAACAATAAAACTATGTCATAAAATCCATCAAACTAGTTCCTTTATAAATAAATGAATAAATAATAAATTAAGAAGCCAATTGAGAAACAAAACAGTTGCTTTATTTTCTCATTCCAAGGGAGACATTACTGCAAATTTAGTTTTACGGCTCAGTCAGAATGTGTTCAAAATAAGATAAATTTTGCAGAATTTTTAGCCATTTGTAACTTATTTTTTGTCGCTTTTTGCAGAGTCGTTCATGAAAAGAATTAAAAAGAAATTCACTGAATAGACAAACATTTTCTTTTGTGTTTGCAGGTTCAGAGTTCAAAGTAAGATGAATAATTGCGCTACACATGACTAACTTTAGTGTTTTGAGCCTCGTCATTCGCGCCACAGAGTAAAACGTTCCCTCTTTGTACAAAAAGCCGTATTTTCCTTGTTAAATGATTTGGTCGCATAATACTATATATGCAGAGCTGTGCTGCTGCCGTGGATGCTGTTAACTCTGTTGCCATGGCAGCTGCTTCTGTCACAGACTCAGGACCCAGGAGGTTTCTGTGCTCATCTCACACAATTATCTGAAGAACCGAGAGAGCAGGAACCTTCTCAGGATCACAAGGAGCGACAATGAATTCAGCACTTCACATGGAGAGACTAACATGGACAATTCATTATCATAAACGAAGGGCAAGTTTGTTGTTTTAGGGCAGAGGCTGAGTCAAAGACATCAGAGGCCAAAAAAAACTGTTTGCTACAAGCCGAGGCCCGGACTGGTTCAATGTTTATAAACTCATTGATGCCAGGCTTTTTTGGATGATTTTGCTGATTCTCAAGACCCACAGAATATTGTGTGCTATGACTATGTGAAATATGAAACCAGATTCATCAGCACACAAAAAAATGTTTCTAGCTAGTTTTGTTCTCCTGTTATCCCCAGTTGAAAAGAGGGAAGTTTGACAGAAATGACCAGTCTCAGACAAATACGTCAATGGCAGTCAATGGGTTAAAACATATTGAAAGGATTAGGTCTTAAAACTAAGACCTGAGACAGTGGACCGTATTTTATTTCATGATTTAATAATAACAGACTCACCCAGACACAAACAGAGCAATGTGGTGTATTAAATGAAATGTAGTGAAGAGGAGTGCACGGACCCCTACGGAAGGACTTTACCAATATCAAAGAGAAAATTCAAGTGGGCCACAATCGGCGGTACATCTCCATCTTAAGGACCGCCATTAATTCATTCATTTACTACTGCTTTATTAATCAATTTCAATGCTCACAGCACCAGTCCATCGCTGATCCTCCGGCTGGTGCTGGGTCCACAGAAAGATGGCTGCTGCACCGTCAGCTGTGACAAAACCTTGGTCTTTTCAGCTGGCGCTTCGGGCTAGGTGGGGTAAGTGTAGATCTCGTTGGGGATTGAACCCACAGCAGTGAGCAAACTTACCACAACATGGGAGACGAATCCCTAAAAGCAAAGAGAGCAGCTCATAACAGTGACCCATCAGAGCTCTCTGGCTCTGAGGGTGACTGCAGGGTCCACAGGAGGACAACCCAGTCTTGATCTTTCAGCGGGGGCTTAAGGCAAAGTGCTGTTAAGTGTCTTGCCCAAAGACACAGCAATAGCAGACATCAGTGGGAGTCAGTGGAGAAGGTCAAGCTCAAAGGCCAATGCTTTACCCACTGAGCCCCTGTCGCCCCGAGCAATCCTTACCAACTTATCACTTCTAAATGCCCTCATTCTGTTTCATTTTGATAAATATTTCCATCCATTGAGGTGTCGTTCCCTTATCTGCTCTTTGCTCTTTGTGTGATTGAAAAACTAATCTCCTCGAGGCTCGTGCCAGGACAGCGGTGAGTCAGCCGGAAATAGTCCTGAGTCACAGATGACCGCATTGTGGAAGAAGCTGAAGCAGAACGGAAGAGGATTCTGTTTCTAGAGAGTAATGTCAAGGTTAGGAACCAGCAGAGACCACTCAGAGACCACCAGAGACCACTCAGAGACCACTCACAGACCACCAGAGACCACTCAGAGACCACTCGGAGACCACCAGAGACCACTCAGAGACCACCAGAGACCACCAGAGACCACTCAGAGACCACTCACAGACCACTCACAGACCACCAGAGACCACTCAGAGACCACTCGGAGACCACCAGAGACCACCAGAGACCACTCAGAGACCACTCATAGACCACCAGAGACCACCAGAGATCACTCAGAGACCACTCAGAGACCACTCAGAGACCACTCACAGACCACCAGAGTCACTGCAGAAACCAGATTTTACTCACGGTGATAAAAGGCACATTAATCCATTAATCATTTATCTGTATAGCACAATTTGTCTACAAGGCAATTCAAAGTGCTTCACAAAAGATATAAAAAAACACAGATCAAAATGCATTAAAAAGTCAATAAATATACAATTATTTCATATCAAAACAGAGCAGGATAAAAGTATGGGGTTAAAAACTCATTCAAAAGTGGGTTTAAAAGGGAGATAAAAGCCAAAAGTTGTACAAAATAGAATCAGTTGAATATCACAGCTAAAAAGATGTGTATTTTTTTCTCACTGTATGAAACTAAACTCCGGACACACACACTGTTGAGGCATTGAGCTCATAGTAAAGACTGAATATAACTGATGATTCAAAATAAAACAGGTGAGAACACAGTAAAGTATGTTTTTGTACAGTGTCTATAAACTACTGGTTTATATTTACCAAAATATAAATAATTGCCCCATTTCTCTTTGATTAATGAGTTATAGTTTGGTCTGTTTGGGCTCTGGGATTTAATGTTGAGACGTTTGAGTCATTCATTGGGACAATACTAATTATACAATCATTTTAAAATCCTTTGGAAAAAATAAGAAAAACTTATGTAAAAAAAATATGTAAAATACTGCTTAAAATAATAAAAATAATCTGACAATATACAAGAAAATATCTGAAAATAATAAAATAACACTAGCCCCAATTGACTTTCTTAATTGTTTTTTTAAACCAGAAACTTTGTCTGAAAATAAGAAAAATACTAAACCAAGCTTAAAAACTCACTGCTCAGACTTTTATTTTTAAACTAGTAAAATATTCTTATGACAAACTACATCCGACCAATATATAGTTTTTTTCAGTGGAGTCTTCAGTTGTTATTGAGAACAGTCGCCCGTGTCCAGAGAAGGGTAAACTGAGTCCCTTTGAAGAGAGCGTGTGCAACAATGACAACACCGCCGCTGGTATTCTTAGCACAAAGCCATGGGACCATAAGACCAGCGACAGACCAGAGACAGACCAGCGACAGACCAGAGACAGACCAGAGACAGACCAGCGACAGACCAGAGACAGACCAGCGACAGACCAGAGACAGACCAGCGACAGACCAGAGACAGACCAGCGACATACCAGCGACATACCAGCGACAGACCAGCAACAGACCAGCGACAGACCAGAGACAGACCAGCGACAGACCAGAGACAGACCAGCGACAGACCAGCAACAGACCAGAGACAGACCAGCGACATACCAGCGACAGACCAGCGACAGACCAGCAACAGACCAGAGACAGACCAGAGACAGACCAGCGACAGACCAGCGACAGACCAGAGACAGACCAGCGACATACCAGCGACAGACCAGCGACAGACCAGCGACAGACCAGAGACACACCAGCGACATACCAGCGACAGACCAGCGACAGACCAGCGACAGACCAGAGACAGACCAGCGACATACCAGCGACAGACCAGCGGTAGACCAGCGACAGACCAGCGACAGACCAGAGGCAGACCAGAGACATACCAGCGACATACCAGCGACAGACCAGCGACATACCAGAGACAGATCAGCGACAGACCAGAGACAGACCAGCGACATACCAGCGACATACCAGAGACAGACCAGCGACAGGTCAGAGACAGACCAGCGACAGACCAGCGACAGACCAGCGACAGACCAGCGACATACCAGAGACAGACCAGCGACATACCAGTGACAGACCAGAGACAGACCAGCGACAGACCAGCGACATACCAGAGACAGACCAGAGGCAGACCAGAGACATACCAGCGACAGACCAGCGACAGACCAGCGGCATACCAGCGACAGACCAGCGACAGACCAGCGACAGACCAGCGGCAGACCAGCGACATACCAGCGACAGACCAGAGACAGACCAGCGACAGACCAGCGACAGACCAGCGACATACCAGCGACAGACCAGCGACATACCAGCGACAGACCAGCGACAGACCAGCGACAGACCAGCGACATACCAGAGACAGACCAGCGACAGACCAGCGACAGACCAGCGAAAGACCAGCGACATACCAGCGACATACCAGCGACAGACCAGCGACAGACCAGCGACATACCAGCGACAGACCAGCGGCAGACCAGCGGCAGACCAGCGACAGACCAGAGACAGACCAGCGACATACCAGAGACATACCAGCGACAGACCAGCGGCAGACCAGCGGCAGACCAGCGACAGACCAGAGACAGACCAGCGACATACCAGCGACAGACCAGCGACAGACCAGCGGCAGACCAGCGACAGACCAGAGACAGACCAGCGACATACCAGCGACAGACCAGCGGCAGACCAGCGGCAGACCAGCGACAGACCAGAGACAGACCAGCGACATACCAGCGACATACCAGCGACAGACTAGCGGCAGACCAGCGACATACCAGCGGCAGACCAACCTTTGTTCTCGCATTCTTTCCATCCCAGACCCTGCTCTTCTCTTACCCTCAAAGATAAGCCCATTATCATTTCGCCAACAGATCCAGAGCCTGTTCATGAGATTAGAACTCATGATAGAAGTCGACTCAAAACAAAAAGTTGAAGGTGAGTTGTTTGTAGCGTAGAGCAAGTCAGAAAATGGGAACGATCTGGCTGTATTTTTCCTAATCGGAGAGACCAAACCCTGGGACATGGCACTTAGAAAACACTTATTCTATTTATTGTACGTAAGATAAAATAATAGATAGACCGGGTGGCACGGTGGCTCAGCAAGAAGTTCCATGGGTTCGAATCCCGGACGGAACAGGGCCTTTCTGAGTGGAGTTAGCATGTTCTCCTCGTGTCTGCGTAGGTTTCCTCCAGGTGCTCCGGTTTCCCCCACCACTAAAAACATGCACAGTAGCCCCGCTCCCATCTCTGTGTGGAGAGAGTGACTAATGCCCACAATTGTAACCGGCTTTTGTGACTCTGGTCTGAGAAAGTACGTACATATTTACTAACTTTACTGATCTCACACTCGAGAAATTTACACTTCACATTTGCCGCAGATAGAGTCACTCAGATTGTGCAAAAAGTCAGAAGTGTGCAACATGTCAAAGGTTAAATATATAGTGTGTGCAGGATATAATTATGTACAATAAAAACGTGGCAATTAGAGAAACAGTGGCAATAACAGTGCAGGTTTTTTCAGTCCTAGAGCATTAGTGACTAGGAGAATGTAGAATAATACCTAGAGAACAAAGTGAGTCAACAAAGAGAGGGTACAGAGGCCCACGGTGATAATCTGAAGAGGTTTATTTTGAGGTGTGTGTGAGAAAGGACAACTGTAGCCCCCTCCCTCACTATCTCTCTGATGAGGCCTGCTCCCAAACTCCAGCCCCCAACACAATCTCACCAACCAGAACGTAAAAATAGCTCCCTTAGCCTTTTCCGATGAGCTCACGTGAGTGGCTCTACCGTGGGATATAAACAGCGTCAAAAACTAATACTGAACGTGCTTTTAGTTTGAGGGTCAGAGAAGTCAAGGGGACGCATCAGAACGTGCCTCTTCCTCCTCCATGAGTGTGGGCAATTCTTCAGTGTACAGATCGGGGCGCACCTTTCATCAGACCTCATCTTCAGCTGCTCCTGGAGGCCCGGGCATGGACAAGAACCGGGGTTTGTTCACTGACGACTTTGGCTCCTTCATGAGACCTGGGAATGACGCCTTCTCCGGTGAGTGCCAGGGCAGAAGACACACACACACACACACACACACATACCGGACTGTAATTATCATGTATGTCCTTATGCTAATACTCAGTTGGGGCATCACTCCAGTGTGCAAGAAGTCTGTTCTGTTTTGGAGGAGGCACAATGGACAATGGAGGCTTTAATCCAGTCTAGACTTGACTTTTTCATTCCATACTTTCACTAAAGGTATTATTTCTGATTGTACAAAGGGAAATTATCATTGATTTGATCTATTCATAATTTAATTTGCTCTAAAAGACATTGATGAGGTGTTATTCCGATGTAGATCATGCAGAAGTCACGGAGGTCTTAGTTCACACTTAAACTTCTGATAAATGTTCACAGATCTGTTTCAAAACTGTCTTAATGGACACATGCTCACTTGTTTGGTGGTTATTCACACTTATTTTGAATTCTTTAGAGTTTAGAGCCACTTCTCATTCCAAACCCTCTCCAAATGTCTCCGAGATATAAACGTTGTGCGAACACGTACAGAGTTAGACAGCGGAGAGGTCCCATAGGTGCTGCTCAGCCCAGAGACAGAGGCTGGAATGAGAGTGCGCTGCCAGCCGCCTGAGCTCACACTCCTAATCCTGAGATGACGGGGGCACGAGGAATGATCACGGGGTTGCCTGGATACAAGAACAACAGAAACACAATTACACACCTTTGAATTATGTCAGATATTTTATTAGCGAGACACTGAGGTCACCGCATGGACTTTACAATCTGTGGTGGCATCTGTTATTACAATGTCATTACACAATAATGTTATTACACAAATGTCATGATCGTTTGTTCTCGTGCACACTCTGAGGTTGGAGTTTCGTCTCATGCCTGAAAGTCTCACATTTACACATTTCAGACGATTTGAAGGTTAGTCAGTTAGTATTAACCAGGGATGTCAAAGTCAAAAACTTCAGACAAAAACACAATGTTTTTTATGATCTATTGCAGTGTCTCCCAAAGTGGGGTCCGCGGCCCCCTGGTGGGCCGCGAGGGTACTGCAGGGGGGCCGCGGGAGGTCATAAAAAAAAAAATAATAATAATATAATTATTTAATGTTAAATTTATAATGTTTTGTTTGTAATATTAAAATATTTGTGTTCATTATTTGACTTGAATAATCCACTGTAATCATTTTTGTATTACAATGTTTGTAGCAGAGGCTATTTCCCCAAAATAAAATAACCAGAAGAGCCTATTCTTAATGTTGTCTTCTTGGTTATTATTTTGGGGGGGCCACGCAGACCCGTCAAATTTTTAAGGGGGCCTCGGTGTTACTGAGTTTGGGAATGGCTGATCTATTGTATTTATCCATCCATTTCTGGGTCGGGGCCACAGTGGCTGGTAGAGCATTGGCCTCTGGATCCTGAAGGTCATGGGTTCTATTCCACCACAAGAGCCTCTGTCTAGACTGACTCTAACTGATATCTGCTGTTGTTGTTGTGTCCATGGGCAAGACACTTAACCCCACTTTTCCTGAAGCCCCCTGAAAGATCAAGGCTGTTTTATTTAATGATTAAATGAATAATCCAGTACTTTTGTATGGCTTTGTCAGTCATTTCCCAACAGACTGACGGACAAAAACAAACTTCCTTCAAAGAGAAAACACACAACCTAAACATTAAATTAATAATCCAATATTTTGCTGCTAAAGTACAGCTGTAAACACGTAGAGATGCTAACATATACTGTAACTACATATTGCTTGCACTAGAATACACAGCACTTTATACTTGCGTCTTATTTTGCCAAATGTAAAACTTCTTTATTATTATCATGACAGAGATTTTATACTTATACACACTGAAACCTGCAGGGGGCGCAGGAAACATCAAGACTCTGGGAGACTCGTATCAGTTCACTGTGGACGTGCAGGACTTCTCCCCAGAGGACATCATTGTGACCACATCCAACAACCAGATCGAGGTCCGCGCAGAGAAGGTACACAACACAATACAATACAACACAATACAATACAATCTATTCTTGTATAGCCTTAAATCACAACAGTATCATCTCAGAGACTTAACAAAACCATTGAAATCACCAACACAGATCAGAGAATCAACAGTTAAGACACACATGTTGATGATAAATGTCATACATGTTGTTGAATGTTAAAGTGTCCTGGATCATCACAGTCCTTCTTGTTAGACACTGTCCAACAGACTCCTGCATCAGAGGAAAAACTCTATAATCCAGTGGGAAAAAAGTGAGAAACCTCAGATCCACATTGAGAAAGGGATCTGCTCCACACGGACGGACGGGCTGTAGATCCAGGACTCAGACTGTAGAACGAGGACTGAAGCTGTAGATCCAGGACTCAGACTGTAGAACGAGGACTGAAGCTGTAGATCCAGGACTCAGACTGTAGAACGAGGACTGAGGCTGGAGATCCAGGACTCAGACTGTAGAACAAGGACTGAGGCTGTAGATCCAGGACTCAGACTGTAGAACGAGGACTGAGGCTGTAGATCCAGGACTCAGACTGTAGAACGAGGACTGAAGCTGTAGATCCAGGACTCAGACTGTAGAACGAGGACTGAAGCTGTAGATCCAGGACTCAGACTGTAGAACGAGGACTGAGGCTGGAGATCCAGGACTCAGACTGTAGAACAAGGACTGAGGCTGTAGATCCAGGACTCAGACTGTAGAATGAGGACTGAGGCTATAGATCCAGGACTCTCAGACTGTAGAACGAGGACTGAGGCTGTAGATCCAGGACTCAGACTGTAGAACGAGGACTGAGGCTGTAGATCCAGGACTCTCAGACTGTAGAACGAGGACTGAGGCTATAGATCCAGGACTCGGACTGTAGAACGAGGACTGAGGCTGTAGATCCAGGACTCAGACTGTAGACCCAGGGCTAAGGCTGTAGATCCAGGACTCTCAGACTGTAGACCCAGGACTAAGGCTGTAGATCCAGGACTCTCAGACTGTAGAACGAGGACTGAGGCAGTAGATCCAGGACTCTCAGACTGTAGAACGAGGACTGAGGCTGTAGATCCAGGACTCTCAGACTGTAGAACGAGGACTGAGGCTGTAGATCCAGGACTCTCAGACTGTAGAACGAGGACTGAGGCTGTAGATCCAGTACCTAAGCTCCGGTGGTCCAGTGCAGGACTGAAGAAGTCCCAGGCGGGTCGGGCAGGGCAGTCCGCAGGTGTAGATGGAGGAGGCCAGGTTCAGAGGTCCCGTCGTCGTACCATGAAACATACAATGGGACAACGGGTGAATAGCAATGAACAAACTACAGTCAAAATCCTAATAATGCTAAACAGATAAAGTAGGAAGGAGGAGAGGATAGTGCTCAAGTTACCATACTTCTCCAGCAGGGGGCGCCCTATGCAGTCTGCTGGGGGAGCAGGAAACAAATCCCTTGATGAAAAATGCATAAAAATAAGTAAAATACTGCTTAAAATAAGAAAAACTATCTGCCAATAAAAGAGAAAATGACCTGACAAGATTTCTGAAAATAAGAAAATAATACTAGCCCGAAATTACTTGATTCTAGTTTAAAACCATACATTTCAAGAATGATTTACTTATTTCTTATTAAAAAAAATTTATGAAATGTTTTCCCAAAATATAGCATCACAGACTTATTTTACCTAAACACAAAACATTGTCTGGAAATAGGACAAAAATACTAAAAAACAAACCTCACTGCTCAGATTTTTTCTCTAATAAGATTAAGAAGTATTATCTTAAAACCAGTCAAATAATCTTGAAAATGAAGGATTAAAACGAAGCATAATTTATGTTATTTTTAGTAAATAAACCTTTCAAGATTTTACTTTTTCAGTGTATGTACTCCTCACCTTTCCCCGACCAAATCCCTCCAACTTTGTCTAAACTCTGAACTCTGATCTTCTCTCTGCTCCTCCATGGCGACAGCTGGCCCAGGACGGCTCGGTCATGAACACATTCACCCACAAGTGCCAGCTCCCTGAGGACGTGGACCCCACCTCTGTGACATCATCACTGGGCGCCGAGGGGACGCTGACAGTGAGGGCCCGAAGACAAGCCGCCAAACACGAACACACGCAGACCTACCGCACGGAGATCAAGATTTAAACTTCACTCGCTACTCCATGTTTTCTTGTACTGGATGTTTGTCCCCCCCACCACCCCCTACCACCCCCACCACGCCCCTACCACCCCCCGCCACCCCCACCACGGCCCTACCACCCCACCACCCCCCGCCACCCCCACCACGCCCCTACCACCCCACCACGCCCCTACCACCCCCCTACCACCACACCACGCCCCTACCACCCCCCTACCACCCCACCACGCCCCTACCACCCCCCTACCACCCCACCACGCCCCTACCACCCCACCACGACCCTACCACCCCACCACGCCCCTACCACCCCACCACGCCCCTACCACCCCACCACGCCCCTACCACCCCACCACGCCCCTACCACCCCACCACGCCCCTACCACCCCACCACGCCCCTACCACCCCCCGCCACGGCCCTACCACCCCCTACCAACCACCCACCAACCACCCACCACCCCCACACACACCAACATGACTGATAAATATCCTCAAAGCAGGACTGGCCTTGAATGTAGAAACCGTGTCTGCTTCCTTAACATAAATGAAGCTGATTCCACAGTAAAGGAGCTTGGAGCTAAATGCTCTGCCGCCAACAGTGCTTTTTGAGACCTTAGGGACCACCAGACGTCTGCCGTTTTGCGAGCACAGTGCTCGGCTTGGTTGATATGACACTAACATGTCTTGTAGATAAGAAGAAGCCATTTATGGCTTTGTATGCCAAAATAATTTTAAACTTTATTCTGTAGTCCACAGGAAGCCAGTGATTTTAACATCAGAGTTATGTGCTCCCTCCTTTTGGTGCCTGTTAAGATCCTTGCTGTTGTATTTTGAACGAGCTGGAAGCTCTTCAAAGACGCTTTAGGGCACGCTGCCAGTAAAGCGTTACAGTAGTCGAGCCTTGAGGTGACAAAGACATGGATCAGTTTTTCCGCATCACTTTTAGGATATTCCTGATTTTAGCGATGTTCCACAAGTGGAAATATGCCGTTTTAGTTGCTTGGTTTATATGAGCCTTAAAGGACAGTTCTTCGTCAAAAACAACTCCAAGAATACTGACATTATCAAGAGTGATTATCTGGTCAGAGGGAGTCACGCAGGCGCTTTGGACCGAGTAGGATCACTTCTATTTTCTCCGGTTAAGAAGTAGAAAGTTTAGAGTCATCCACGTTTTTAGGTCTTTGAGGCAGCACTGAGTCTTTTCATCTGATCCGTCTGATTTTGTTTCATTGACAGATAAAGCTGTGTGTCATCTGCAGCAGTGGAAGTTAATTCCATGCTTTTTAATGATGTTACGGCAGCATGTAGAGTGTGAAAAGAATCGGTCCGAGTATTGATCCCTGCGGCACACCAAATTCCACTGAATAAGGCGACGAGTTCTGATTCACATTGACATAGATGGGATTGAAACCAGCCAAGGGCTGTTCCTCTGAGACCTATGTCACATTCCAGCCTCCACAGTCCAGTGTAGAGATAATGGCATTTACTGGAAAGAATCCCTTTGAAAAAAATAAGAAAAACATATATGAAAATAAGTAAAATACTGCAAAAAAAACCACAAAAAATGCCATTAAATAAATGAGCATAAATGTTAGTTTCTAGTAAATAACTCTTACCAGGATTTAACTTTTTTCAGTGTATAGTGTAAGATATATAGTGTGTTATGAAGCACGTAATGATAATTCTACAGTTCATTACTGCGCCTTTAAGTAAAAACTCCAAAAATGACTATATTCATGGGTTTCAGCTTCATTTTGAGGACCTTTTCTTCTAAATATATGTTTTTCTTTTGAGTTGGTAATCACTGTTGCAAAGGTCCTGATCTTCATCATTCTGTCTCCCATGGATACAGTTCAAAGTCAATGTCATACAATTCTCTTCATTAATCATTATCCTTTACATGTGGTACAATAATGCAGCCGTGTGAATAAACATTTTACTCCTTCATTTTCTTCCAAAATGTCTTCTTCTTCATTTGAAGATGGCATAAAAATAACTTTGCTTTGGAATTTGATGCTTCCCCTGCGGATCCACAGTGAAGACCTCCATCTGCGGTTACTCCACAGTCTAACAGTGTTTCTAACCAGTGTCAACATGACCTGCCATATTCTAAATTACCATAAATGTTTTTATTTCCAGCTGATTTTCTCCAATTATGTGTTCCAATTATCGTGGGATCACACTCCTCAGCCTCCCCGGTAAGGTCTACTCCAAGGTACTGGAGAGGAGGCTACGGCCGATGGTCGAATCTCGGATCCAGGAGGAGCAGTGTGGTTTTCGTCCCGGTCGCGGAACACTGGACCAGCTCTATACTCTCCATCGGATACTCGAGGGTTCATGGGAGTTCGCCCAACCTGTCCACATGTGCTTTGTGGATTTGGAGAAGGCGTTCGACTGTGTTCCCCGGGGTGTCCTTTGGGGGGTTCTCCGGAAGTACGGGGTCGGAGGTCCTCTGCTGAGGGGCCATCCGATCCCTGTATGATCGGAGCCAGAGCTGTGTTCGCATTGCCGGCAGTAAGTCAGACCTGTTCCCGGTGAATGTTGGCCTCCGACAGGGCTGCCCTTTGTCACCGGTTCTGTTCACTGTATTTATGGACAGAATATCTAGGCGCAGCCAGGGGTCGGAGGGGGTCCGGTTCGGGGACCACAGAATTTCATCTCTGCTGTTTGCGGACGATGTTGTCCTGTTGGCTTCAACGAACCAGGACCTGCAGCATGCACTGGGACGGTTTGCAGCCGAGTGTGAAGCGGCTGGGATGAGAATCAGCACCTCCAAATCTGAGGCCATGGTGCTCGACTGGAAAAAGGTGCCCTGCCCTCTTCAGGTGGGTGGAGAGATCCTTCCTCAAGTGGAGGAGTTCAAGTATCTCGGGGTCTTGTTCACGAGTGAGGGAAGAATGGAGCGTGAGATTGACAGGCGGATCGGTGCAGCGTGCGCAGTGATGCGGTCGCTGTATCGGACCGTTGTGGTAAAGAGGGAGCTGAGCCGAAAGGCAAAGCTCTCGATTTACCGGTCAATCTTCGTTCCCTCCCTCACCTATGGTCATGAGCTTTGGGTAATGACCGAAAGAACGAGATCGCGGATACAAGCGGTCGAAATGAGCTTCCTCCGCAGAGTGGCTGGGCGCTCCCTTAGAGATAGGGTGAGGAGCTCAGTCACACGGGAGGAGCTCGGAGTAGAGCCGCTGCTTCTCCACGTCGAGAGGAACCAGTTGAGGTGGCTCGGGCATCTGTTCCGGATGCCTCCTGGACGCCTCCCTGGGGAGGTGTTCCGGGCACGTCCCACCGGGAGGAGGCCCCGCGGAAGACCTAGGACACGCTGGAGGGACTATGTCTCTCAGCTGGCCTGGGAACGCCTTGGGGTCCCCCCGGACGAGCTGGAGGAAGTGTGTGTGGATAGGGAAGTCTGGGCGTCTCTGCTTAGACTGCTGCCCCCGCGACCCGGCAACGGATAAAGCGGAAGAAAATGGATGGATGGATGGATGATTTTCTCCAAACTCATAGTCACATAGACCCTTTTAGACCCCAGACCCACTGTGGCGGGTCATTTTTACACGAGTGTAGCAGGGGTTGAACCAGTGTGTCTTGAGTTGTTGTTTGGTGTGCCTTTGGAAATTATCCAATGTAAACTAATTTTCTATAAAATATACTTTGATGAAAATGACTTTGCATTGTCAATAAAGGTTGCAGAGTTTGATTTTTCGAGTTTCTTCTTTTTAACGTAGGGGCACATTAAAAGTTAAAGCCACAAGCTGCTAACATGTAAGGTGTATCACATGCTAACATTGTATATATCTATATACATCTATATATATATATTTATAACCAATAAACAGAGAAATTATTGGTTTTAAACAACTGATAGGGTCAAAATTGTCTTTTGTCCTATTGGATTTATTTCATTGAATTTGACTTCTAACTAACTTCAAACTATCATTAATTATTAAATCTGTATCTATATCATGTGTGTGTGTGTGTATTAGAGCAGACAACTCTACCAGTTATCAGTACATTATAATTTGTCATTTAAAATAGATTTGTTATCACTACTGATATTGATCATAATCAAACAGATGAATCAAAGAGTTATACACAATCAAGTTACATGTTTATTTCATTTGCCAGTATGAATTCTATGCACCCAGAGCCTCACAAACAGTTCAAATGTCAATACAGATTTTGACCACCAGGGGGATTGTGAGCATATGAAGCTTTAAGAAATGAACCTTTTCTCAAACCAATGGATGAAAAGGTTCAACTCTCCATGAAGCTTCATCAACCCATCACTACTATATACTCACCGATCTTGTGTGCTCCTCATTCCAACTGTTAATTAACTTAACAACACTGTGGGATGAATAAAGAATCTCTTTAGCGTTCATCTTAATTTATTACATTCCTCTCAATGCAGTTAGTGGTTTGGTCCTTTGGGTCGGCCTCAGTTGACCCTGCACGTTATTATAATAGATCCATGGCCCTGCAGGAGCAGTATTTTATACATTTAGTTTGGCATGTAGCGCCCCCAGCTGGTTGACTGAAACAGTGCAGTCCTGCCTTTGTAACCTTTGACTGCAGATGGCAGCATTCATGCAGATTCCTCAACGAACCTGTCTTCGGCTTCATATGACGTTGTGACGCTAATGTAATGGGTTGAGTAGTTTTATTTTGACGTTAAATATCAAATTGTCGGTGGGCCGCTTGTGCGCATGCGCCGCAGTACCGCCTGGTCCCAACAATCGATCAGAGAGAACAAGATGGCGCTGAGCTGAGCGGAGCAAACAGGATCGATCACCGAAACACTCGATGGACTTGCTCCTGTCAAAATAACAAAGTTTCTGCGACTCTCTCTTTTAATCAAAACGGAAACGAGCAAGAAACAAGGTATGTCGGATTTAGTCAGACACAAAATGGCGTTTAGTAACAGCAGGTCAGGTGGGGAGACAACAGTGCGCGGGCCTCCTGGGTCTCCTCCTGCGCCTCCTCCTGCGCCTCCTCCTGCGCCTCCTCCTGTGTCTGCCGTCTCTCCTCCTGTGTCTGCCGTCTCCTCGCTCCTGCAGGACTGGGACAGGGCGATAAATTAATCCCTGATAACCAGCTGCAAGGATGGAGGAATTGTAATCGATGTGGGCAGAGTCAAACCTGCAAACTGCCAGAACAAACAATATCTATTATGCTCATACTTGCTTCATCAATAGTTTTCTTTCTATGTCCCTGAAGAGCCTGAAGTATTGCAAACAAACCCGTAGCCTGCCCATTGTAGTTATAATAATAATGATTATAAAAAATAATAATAATGATAGATAATATATGTATGTTTTCCCCTTTTGAAATTGCTTTTTGGACCTGTCTTACTTTATTGTGTCTAAATTCTAGGACCATGGAATTCCCTTGGCACTGTGAGAAGGTTCTGGAGCAGCTGAACCTGCAGAGGAAGGAGGGCTTGCTGTGTGACTGTACTTTTGTTGTGGATGGAGTAGATTTTAAAGCCCACAAAGCTGTCCTTGCTGCCTGCAGTATCTACTTCCGCACTCTCTTTGTCGACCAGAAGGATATAGTGCATCTGGACATAAGTAATGCAGCAGGTGGGCTGAGGCGAATTAGATATTTCAAACTTGATCAATTGTGCAAATGTACCTTTTCTTTGTATGTTTATTGAGAGTTGAATCTAAACATTTTGTTCACATAGGTTTGGGCCTGGTCTTGGACTTCATGTACACTTCTAAATTGAGTCTAGCCATAAATAATGTGGTTGATGTGTTGATGGTGGCAAAGTTTTTGAAGATGCCTGAGATTGTAAATGCCTGCTCTGCTTTTCAAACCATGACCAACCCTGGCCCCACCATCATCACTGTCGACGAACTTGGTGAGTTTGTTTGGCAGATCTCTTCAATGTTTTAACTCCTCAGGGATTATAATTCAAGTATTTATGTGTTTCAGGGGATACATTATTGAAAGTAGAACCAGGCGTATCTATGGAAACTGATCTGTCACAAGTGTTCCCTTCAGAGGATGCTACGGATTCTACTCAGGACAAAGTGCCGTCTGACATTAAATCAAGTGAAACGCTACAATCCGGACAGTTGGAGGCGCTACGGCCTTGTGCGCAACAGTCAGACGTGCAACAGTCAGACGTGCAACAGTCAGACGTGCTACAGTCAGACACGCTAAAGTCAGACACACTGCACCCAGGCGCGCTACAGTCGGACGCGCTACAGTCGGATGCCCTACAGTCGGACGCGCTACAGTCGGACGCCCTACAGTCGGACGCCCTACAGTCGGACGCCCTACAGTCGGACGCCCTACAGTCGGACGCCCTACAGTCGGACGCCCTACAGTCGGACACCCTACAGTCGGACGCCCTACAGTCGGACGCCCTACAGTCGGACGCCCTACAGTCGGACGCCCTACAGTCGGACGCCCTACAGTCGGACGCGCTACAGTCGGACTCGCAGCAAATTGACTCAAAAACTGCATTCTCTGGCCGATCAAGACCCTCTAAAACACCTCCAACAATCACAAAGAAAATAGTTGTAAAAAAGGCAGCGGTACAAGAAGGCTTCAAAGACGACCCATCCGATGCTGACTACACACCCTGTAAGTAGTGGTTCCATCAACAAGGTCATTTTGACACAAATAATGTTTTAATTCATATATTTCTTCTTGTAGATGCCCCGTCCAAATCAGCTGGACGCTCCTCCTACATGAGTTCAAGAGGGAGGAGGATCAGGAAACCACCTCTGAGGAACTATCCGCCAGGTGCTTAACTGATTTATTACATTTTTCTTAAAGGAGCAGTATGTAAAAAATCTGTGCAAATGAATCCAGCTGGGACCATAATATCTGAAAAAAGTTTTGTCAACAACTAATCTATAATTAACACCTTTTTCGCAGGACATCCTCTGAACTACTGTTATCAGATAAATAATTATTCAAAAAGAGCATGTTTTGTTGATGCCTTTTGACGGATTGGGGCCATTTAATGATGACTTGACATGAAAATCTTACATATTGCTACTTCCTGGGAAGGCTAATCGTAGCTGCTAATGTGTAAAAGCTTCTGTATTTGGATTTCCAAATGTGTGTCTCCAAACCAGAGTGAGGGGCTGGCCTTCCTGCTTGCACTGCTTAGTGGTGGGGTGGCTAGGCTGTCAATCAAACTTGTGGCTAGTTATAGAGAGAGCTCAACAAACCCTTTTTTGCCGTCAGTTATCCCGTCTCACAAATTGCTGTATTATGATGTCATACTAAAAAAAAATTGCCTCCTTATATGCTGTATGTTATGATTCTTCAACTTTATTACCTGTGCTATATTATAAAGTTATAACAATTTTCTCTTCCCCTCATGTTTTGGTTACTTACAATTACTGGGCTAAGTTTATAGTCCATTTCAGTTAGGGCTGAAACAACTAATCGATTAATCGACGACTAATCGATTATTGAAATAGTCGACAACTATTTTAGTAATCGATTAATCGTTTTCTGGTTCACACGGACTCAAACAGAGCAAAAATGACATGAAAATGTAGTATTTTTGATTAAAACCGACTTTGTTTTTATAATTTCATGAATATCTGTCTGTCTCATCCAATCAGAGCAGAATTAGCACAAAGAGCCTGTTACAAACATTTACTTTAAGTTTACGCCATCAATACGTCCTCGAGTGTTGCCACTTTAGCTTTTTGTGATGAAAAAATATTTTTTTTCTACACAATTCACAGCCAAGCGATTACTCGATTAATCGTAAAAATAATCGATAGATTAATCGATTACAAAATAATCGTTAGTTGCAGCTCTAATTTCAGTTCAATTCAAATTGACGGCCAGCCGTTTTTGATGATTTCACTGATTCTCAAAAGCCACAGAATGTTATTTCCTAAGACTATGTGAAATATGAAACCAGATTCTTTGATCAGCAAAAAAAAGTTTGTTTCTAGCTATTTTTAAAGTCCTGTAATCCCCAGTCGAAAAGAGGCTCTCAGACTAATACGTCAATGGCAGTAAATATTAAAAGCACACACACCCAAGAAAATAATTAACAAACTTTTATTATCTATTTTTCTCGTATAGAAAATGAGTCGGAGAAAGATGGCCAATCTATCGAAGACGATGAGAAGAGTACTGTGGCGGAGGAATCACAGAATAAGACCGAGAATAGCAGCGGTGATGAGGAGGAGACGGACGACAGTGATGGGAGTGGGCAGGATGATGAAGAGGGCGATGGGACCTCCACGACCGACCAGTACAAGCCGAAGAGCGGCAGGGCTGAGACCAAACAATACAGCTCTGTGGCTCATAAGTGTGAGGTGAGCTTAAGTCATTGTCTGCTTAATGGAGACATAATCTGTAATTCTAACCCTATAATAATATAATTTAAACTTTATTGATGTCACGCTGGAGAAATGTACGTGTCACATTAGGCACGGATAGAATCACTCAGATTGTGAAAACATGTTAAAGCAGCAGGATATAAAAATCTGGCCAGAAATGGTACTGCAGCCTCTCCCACTCTCCCTGACTCAGGTTGCCAGATATGCAGACGAATCCAGCTGGGACCATAACAGCTGAATAGATAAGAGTTTTGTCAACAACAAATCTATAACCAACACCTTTTTCACAAAGATAGAAATCCTGGTTTTATTCCTTGTTTTGTCGTTAATGATTTGAGAATCATAACGAGACCTTTTTTGTTCTGCACCACATGGTACTTTACCAGTGAGATTAGCTCCACGCGGTGAGTTCTGGCGCCCGGATCACAGACTTTCTAATGAAAACAATAATACGATTTAGGGGCTGTAAAACTCATTTAGAAATTGAAATATCTCTGAACTACTGTTATCAGTTAAAGAAGTATAGGAAAAGAACAGGTTTTATTAATGCTTTTAGACGGATAAGGGCCCTTTAATGTTGACACAAAAAAATGTGTTGCATTCTCTTTGAGCTTCCTTACACTGATACAACTCGAGTACATCTATAATTTTTATAATGATCAGCTTTGACCTGGACACATTCTTTTTAGACACAGATATTGCTAAAAACTTGCTGAAACATATTTCCCATCCAACAGATCATATGTGAAGAAAGAGTAGAGGATTAGTTAAAAACGTATAACTATCTGTTGTTACTTCAGATTTATTTACTATAAGATTTCCACAACAAACCCTTTGTTTTGTGTTGTTTCTTCACAGTCTTAAATATGATTTGACAAAGTAATTGAATAAGTTATTGGGCGGTACGGTGGCTGAGTGGATAGCACTCTCGCCTCTCAGCAAGAAGGTTCTGGGTTCAAATCCCGGTCAGACCAGGGGCTTTCTGAGTGGAGTTTGCATGTTCTCCCTGTGTCTGCGTAGGTTTTCTCCGGGTGCTCCGGTTTCCCCTACCACTAAAAATATGTACAATAGTTCTGGCATGTGCCTCCTGTACGGCGACCCCGCTCCCATCTCTGTGTGGAGTGAGAGGACAAGTGCCCAAAAAATAACAATTGTAAACCGCTTTGTGACTCTGGTCTGTGAAAGGCGGTATATAAAATAAAAATAAACATTACTTACTATGTTGTTGTTTAAAACTAATGCAACATATTTATAATACATACAACTGGCTTTTAACACTTTTATCACTCATTAGCACAGTGACTCTTTTTAAATACTGTTTTATTGTTTGAATGCATAAATGTTTGAATGGATTATATGTAATTTTATTTTAAGCTCTTTGTTTGCCTCGAGTGTCTTAAAGGGCTGTATAAATTAAACTGATTGATTGAAATGAACCTCTTGCTCCTAGAACTGTGGGAAGGTATTTACTCATACGGGAAACTTCAAGAGACACGTACGTATCCACACAGGAGAGAAACCCTTCTGCTGCAGAAGCTGTAGCAAGGCTTTCTCTGACCCTGCCGCCTGCAGAGCCCACGAGAGAACACACAGGTACTTTCAGTTTCTCTCTTATGGATGGATCTGTTCTGTCATGTGACTTCTTTTAACTTAATTTCTATCCAATGTGTTGTAGTCCTCTGAAACCGTTCAGCTGCTCCACATGTGGGAGGAGCTACCGTCACATCAGTCTGCTCAACATGCACCTGAAGCGCCACACGGGGGAGGCTCGCTACAGCTGCGACCAGTGCGGGAAACTCTTCACCACCTCAGGGAACCTCAAACGGCACCAGCTGGTCCACAGCGGGGAGAAGCCGTTCCACTGTGACTTCTGTGACCGAGCCTTCTCTGACCCCACGGCCAAAATGAGGCACTTAGAGACCCATGACACAGAGAAGGACCACAAGTGTCCGCACTGCGACAAGCGCTTCCATCAGGTAACCACATAGACTGCACTGGATCATATACGGAATCGGGACGGAAATGGAAGTAAACATAACCAACTACCTAAACTAATAGATTCATGCCTAAACTTAACCAGCCATTTCCATAGAATAACCTCAACCCACTCAGACCACCTTAACCATCTTACTCAGACCCACCTTAACCCTAACCTTAACCATCTTACTCAGACCCACCTTAACCCTGACCTTAACCATCTTACTCAGACCCACCTTAACCCTAACCTTAACCATCTTACTCAGACCCACCTTAACCCTGACCTTAACCATCTTACTCAGACCCACCTTAACCCTAACCTTAACCATCTTACTCAGACCACCTTAACCCTGACCTTAACCATCTTACTCAGACCACCTTAACCCTAACCTTAACCATCTTACTCAGACCACCTTAACCCTAACCTTAACCATCTTACTCAGACCACCTTAACCCTAACCTTAACCATCTTACTCAGACCACCTTAACCCCAACCTTAACCATCTTACTCAGACCCACCTTAACCCTAACCTTAACCATCTTACTCAGACCACCTTAACCCCAACCTTAACCATCTTACTCAGACCCACCTTAACCCTAACCTTAACCATCTTACTCAGACCACCTTAACCCCAACCTTAACCATCTTACTCAGACCACCTTAACCCCAACCTTAACCATCTTACTCAGACCACCTTAACCCCAACCTTAACCATCTTACTCAGACCACCTTAACCCTAACCTTAACCATCTTACTCAGACCACCTTAGATTTATTTAATTTTTTGTATTTGTATTATTTATTTGTATTTTTTATTATTCTCATTATTATTTTTGTTTTGTATGGGTGTGTGAGTGTGTGTAACATGTGTGTGTGTGTATATAAATATGTATAACTTTTTTTGTTTTTGCTTTTTTTCATCCTTTACTATTCTTGTGGTTTGCTCTGTTCTGTTTTTTTTTTTGCTATTGTTGTTTTTTTCTCTTTTTCCTTTTCTTCCAAATGTCTGTGTAAATTTAGGGATGATCTTTTTTTAAAAAGCAATATTGTTGGGGAAAAAAAATTAGGTATGACATTTTAGTACTGTTTAACAAAGCTGAAGTTGGCTGAATGACAAATATGTACCTTTTACCTCTGGCTACATTAACAAAAAACACAGAACTTTGGGCCACGTACAAATTGAACACAGTAGGATTGTGATCTTTTGGGTCTTTTGAGCCAGATAAAGCAAACAAACTCAGTTTAGGACATTCTGGTGGAGTTTGAGCAGATAAAACAGAATGCATACTTCTGCTGTAATTTACTTATTTCTTGATATCGAGTTTGGTCTAAATTGTGTCATTATAATTAACATGTGTTGTGTTAGCTGGGAAATCTGAAAGCTCACCTGAAGATTCACATTACTGATGGGCCTCTGAAGTGCAAAGCCTGTGGAAAGCAGTTCACCACTTCAGGTAAGCAGCCCACAAATGTATAAGTGCTTTGTGACTCAGGTCTGTGAAATGCGCTGTATAGATAAAGATTACTTCCTTAATATAATTGTCATATTGAATTATACAATGTTACTTCCTCTATGACTATTCCTGTGTTGCATCATGATAAAACAAAATGTTCATTATGTCCCAGGGAACCTCAAAAGGCATCTGCGAGTCCACACTGGAGAGAAGCCGTACGTCTGCACTCACTGCCAGAGACCGTTCAGTGACCCCGGAGCCCTGCTGCGCCACTGCCGCACTCACACCGGTAACACCTCTGCCTTCTTTATGGAAATTATATACACTTTTATATAGACTTTTATATAGACATCAATTAAGGCCTTATTATTGCGAGATAAAAAAATACTGTTTTCAACCTGATTTATTCTGTTTCTCGCATTGACTTAAAGTAGCAGTATGTAAGATTTTCATGTCATGTCATCATTAAAGGGCCCTAATCTGTCATCATTAAAGTTCCCTAATCTGTCATCATTAAAGAGCCCTAATCTGTCATCATTAAAGGGCCCTAAACTGTCATCATTAAAGGGCCCTAAACTGTCATCATTAAAGGGCCCTAATCTGTCATCATTAAAGGGCCCTAATCTGTCATCATTAAAGGGCCCTAATCTGTCATCATTAAAGGGCCCTAATCTGTCATCATTAAAGGGCCCTAATCTGTCATCATTAAAGGGCCCTAATCTGTCATCATTAAAGGTCCTAATCTGTCAACATTAAAGAGCCCTAATCTGTCATCATTAAAGGGCTCTAATATGTCATCATTAAAGAGCCCTAATCTGTTATCATTAAAGGGCCCTAATCTGTCATCATTAAAGAGCCCTAATCTGTCATCATTAAAGAGCCCTAATCTGTCATCATTAAAGGGCCCTAATCTGTCATCATTAAAGGGCCCTAATCTGTCATCATTAAAGAGCCCTAATCTGTCATCATTAAAGAGCCCTAATCTGTCATCATTAAAGGGCCCTAATCTCTTGTCATAATTTATTGTCTGCCATTGACGTGCAAAGATGTCAAAGTAAATATTGAGCTTGTGTCCCATTGACGTTTTAAATTGCGTTTTTCACCATTTTCCTGTTCCCCGATGTATTTTATATCTAAAATGTATGGGGATTAGTTTTAGAGCATATTTTATCAAGCCAGCAGGTTGTTTTGAAAACAGGAAGCACTTTCTCAGCTTTTTGTCTGAGACTGTGATTTCACTGTGAACTTCCCTCTTCTCGACTAGGGATTACAGGGGAACGAAACTATCTAGAAACTAAATTATTTTTTCTGGTGAAAGTAGAACCAGAATCAGGTTTCAGTTTTCAGATAGTCATAGTACACAATATTCTGTGGGTCTTGAAAAATCAGTAAAATTGTCAGAAACTGCTGGAAATATGGGAGTACCTGTTCTGAAATGAGCTGGCAGGCAATGAGCTAACAACAAAACAAAGGTTTCACAAAGATAGAAACCAGGATTTATATTTTTGTGAAAAAGGTGTTGGTTATAGATTTGTTGTTGACAAAACTCTTGTCTATTCAGCTGTTATGGTCCCAGCTGGATTCGTCTGCATATCTGGCAACCTGAGTAAGGGAGAGTGGGAGAGGCTGCAGTACCACTTTTGGCCACATTTTTACACACTGCTCCTTTAAATCTGAAATTTCCCCACTGTTACAAATACAGAACTTCTGATCTTTGCTTAGGTGCTGATTTTAAACTCTAAAATGTTATAAAACCCCTAATAATCTTTGTGCAGTGTTTTACATGGTTTTATTATGAACATTGAAAAGTGTAGTGTGTCCTGTCTGTTAAATCTGTTAAATGTGTTTGTGTTGCAGGTGAAAAACCATGTGTGTGCAAAGTGTGTGGTAAAGCTTTCACTCAGGCCAGCTCCCTCATCGCTCACTTCAGGCAACACACCGGAGAACGGCCCTATGTCTGTGACCGCTGTGGAAAGAGGTCCGAGAGACACCCACAATGTATTATTATTGTCTGTGGAACATACTAATGCTGTGTTACTGCAGGTTCACTCAGTCCAGTCAGCTGGCCAATCACATCAAACATCACGACAACGTGCGTCCACATAAATGCCACTTGTGCACGAAGGCGTTTGTGAACGTGGGAGACCTGTCCAAGCACATCATCGTCCACACGGGTGAGTCCTGCCTCTGACCGCAGCTGTGGATTATGTCCTGTATAGACTTAGAAAGACTTTATACATCCACAGGGAAATTACGTATTCACAGAAGCTTGCATAGTGTTCCACAATAAAAATGACCATAAAGCAAAAATCTGAAAATAAGAATAATAAAAAGATTATATTGTGAGAATAAATTAATCTGGATATAGAAACATAATCATAAAAACCTCAACAATATCATCACAGCAACAATCAATGAGCCTCACTTTTCAAAGCAAACAACTGTACCAGCGTCTGCGCAGATCTGACTGGTACCGGCGTCTGCGCAGGTATGACTGGTACCGGCGTCTGCGCAGGTATGACTGGTACCGGCGTCTGCGCAGATCTGACTGGTACCGGCGTCTGCGCAGGTATGAATGGTACCGGCGTCTGCGCAGGTATGACTGGTACCGGCGTCTGCGCAGGTATGACTGGTACCGGCGTCTGCGCAGGTATGACTGGTACCGGCGTCTGCGCAGGTATGACTGGTACCGGCGTCTGCGCAGGTATGACTGGTACCGGCGTCTGCGCAGGTATGACTGGTACCGGCGTCTGCGCAGGTATGACTGGTACCGGCGTCTGCGCAGGTATGACTGGTACCGGCGTCTGCGCAGGTATGACTGGTACCGGCGTCTGCGCAGGTATGACTGGTACCGGCGTCTGCGCAGGTATGACTGGTACCGGCGTCTGCGCAGGTATGACTGGTACCGGCGTCTGCGCAGGTATGACCGGTACCGGCGTCTGCGCAGGTATGACTGGTACCGGCGTCTGCGCAGGTATGACTGGTACCGGCGTCTGCGCAGGTATGACTGGTACCGGCGTCTGCGCAGGTATGACTGGTACCGGCGTCTGCGCAGGTATGACTGGTACCGGCGTCTGCGCAGATCTGACTGGTACCGGCGTCTGCGCAGGTATGAATGGTACCGGCGTCTGCGCAGGTATGACTGGTACCGGCGTCTGCGCAGGTATGACTGGTACCGGCGTCTGCGCAGGTATGACTGGTACCGGCGTCTGCGCAGGGTATGACTGGTAGCGCAGGGTATGACTGGTACCGGCGTCTGCGCAGGGTATGACTGGTACCGGCGTCTGCGCAGGGTATGACTGGTACCGGCGTCTGCGCAGGGTATGACTGGTACCGGCGTCTGCGCAGGGTATGACTGGTACCGGCGTCTGCGCAGGTTATGACTGGTACCGGCGTCTGCGCAGGTTATGACTGGTACCGGCGTCTGCGCAGGTTATGACTGGTACCGGCGTCTGCGCAGGTTATGACTGGTACCGGCGTCTGCGCAGGTTATGACTGGTACCGGCGTCTGCGCAGGTTATGACTGGACATGACTTGGTTGAATACTTACAGGTGAGAAACCCTATCTGTGCGACAAGTGCGGCCGAGGGTTCAACCGCGTGGACAACCTGCGCTCACACGTGAAGACTGTTCATCACGGCAAAGCGGGGATGAAGAGGCTGGTGTTGACAGAGCCAGACTCGGGGGCTGCGGACGGCGGGGGTCTCACAGTCACACAGAACGAGCTGAACATCGTCACAGTCGCCACAGATGACATCGTCACTCTGGCCACCGAGGCCTTGGCCGCCTCGTCCGTCACACAGCTCACAGGTCAGTTTTTAAAGTGTGATATTCACCTGTTTATTAGGCCACAAATGTAACTTTAATGTAATGTTTACTTTAGAATGTTCTGGAAAACGGCTGCAGGTCCTAAGTGTCTCTGAAACAGTTGTTTTGGGTTTTACAATTGTTATTTTTCCTGCATTTTTCTGTCTGTCCGTTCATGGTTTTACACTGGTCCAGACCAGAGCAGAGAGGATTCATGGTTTTACACTGGTCCAGACCAGAGCAGAGAGGATTCATGGTTTTACACTGGTCCAGACCAGAGCAGAGAGGATTCATGGTTTTACACTGGTCCAGACCAGAGCAGAGAGGATTCATGGTTTTACACTGGTCCAGACCAGAGCAGAGAGGATTCATGGTTTTACACTGGTCCAGACCAGAGCAGAGACGTAAGCGTGGGTCTGGAGAGCCCGAGTGCCCGGACGGGACTTCACCAGCGGGGTATACTCTTGACAGCTGGAACAAGTTTCAGCCCCTCTGTCTGTCGACCCTGTCTATTGAAGATTCGGAAGAAGTATATATCTTTGGCATTTTGGTGGTGGGAATCCTCCTGTTTGGGTTTGGAGCGGTTCTCTATCGCAAATTCAGAGGCATGGCAGTTCGCAAGATTCACGACCTGCTGGCCGACAAAATTGATGGGATGTACAAGGAGCTAAGCCGTGTGGCGGTTGAGAGTGCCGTGTCTGGACAAAGGAGAGTGGTTTTGGTGGAACAGTTGATAAAAGACCTCGCAGCTTGTTCACTCGAAGGGAATAAAACTTTGGAGATGAGATTGAATGACATCGTGTGCCAAGCTTGAACTCTCTGACCCGGCTTGGATTTGCCCCTGTGTACGGGGTCTGAGGGCGCCGCAATTCGGATTAATTGGATTTAATAGAATATCTGCCTGCTTTTGATGCTACATTGCATTTAATATTGTCCCCCTCAGGCGATGTGTTTTCTCCTGCTGTGTCTTCTCTCCACTCTTATCTCACATTCCTTCGGCCAAGGCCATAATAACAAGGTCCCATCTACAACAATCTCACACTATTTCAGTCTCCAGCTTGGATCCCCTACCCCCGCCTCCCTCTATCCATCCATCTTGCTCCCTCCCTCCCCTCCACTCCTCACTGTGTTTCCGACTCACCCCTCCCTGACCCCGCCCCCCTCTGACAGCCACATTGGGCCGGCAGTCGGAGGTGCTCATCCCGAGAAAAAAATCCGTGGTTTATACAAAGCACAATGTGTCTATCCAACTGTCTGTGAAACTGTATGTTATTGCTCTCTGCTGTTTATTCTACTGTTTGTCGCATGGCGCCGTAAAGATGGCGCCGTGGCAAGAGCTCTGGTGTGTGTCGTCTTCTCTGTCTGGTGCACACTGGGGTAGTCTTGCACAGTTTTTCCTATGTGGTTTTACTGCAAATGGCAAATAAATGAATCTGAATATGAGAGGATTCATGGTTTTACACTGGTCCAGAGCAGTGTAAAACATTTTATAAAATGCTAATGAAGCATTTAGCATTTTACTTTGGACCAGAGCAGAGAAAATGGTCTGAACCAAGCGGCTCCACCTCTGCTGCTGAGACCTGAAGGACTGATGTTATTATTGTTCGCTTTTTAGAATAATCTTTATTTTATTTTTTATTTTTGGTGCTTCTGGACCTGAATTTCTGCTGCGGGGATCAATATAACACTTGTACATACTGTCCTCTTACTGCCCTTGAAGTGGCACAATTATTGAAATAAAAAGATTGAATGAAAACCTGTTCTTCCGTCGTCGCACTGTAAAATGTCTTGTGTTGAAAAGTACTGAGTGTGAAATGAATTCTCTCTGTGTTGAAAGTTGTACCTGTGACCACGACTGTTGCAGCCGACGAAACGGAGGCTCTGAAAGCGGAGATTACTAAAGCAGTCGAGAAGGTTCAGGAAGCTGGTAAGACTTACGATTAAAGAACTACCTTATTTTTCTGATTTATAAGCCTCAGTTTATGTCATAGTTTGGCAGGAGATGGGACTTATCCTTTGGAGCAATTTATGTGTCAAATGTTATATTTTAAATGTTGTATTTTATATATACAGTACTAATTTTATTATAAATTGCCTTTCTAGATGAAATGTCTATTATTGGTGTTGGATTTCATCAAACTAATTCCCCCAAAAAATTCAACTTATACTCTAGTGCAATTTATGACCTAAAGCACAGGTGTCAAAGTGAAGGCCCGGGGACCAGATCCGGCCCGCGAGACCATTTCCAGTGGCCCTTGAGATGATTTTAAATGATTATATTAAATAGCAGCATAAATGGTAACAGGCGACAATGGCGTGTTATCCATTACTAACAAAACAACCATTACATTTAAATCCATGAGAAATTAAGGATTTCCCAATTTTCTTAGGAAAGAACCGCCCTCTTCACTTTTTGAACAAAACTTTCTGGTCTTATTGGATGAGCACAAATAACCAGAATTATTGACAGTTGGGAGGATCAATAGTCTTCATGATCCACCAAAAAGTAGAAAATCCTCCTAAATACCTTCAATATTTGGTCCAGTTTACGTCCAGTTCTAAACATAAAATAATGTCCAATCTAACTAATGTGAAAGAGGTCATATATTTAGATACCTTCATATTCCAAAAAAAAGAAAAAATTAAAGACCAGCCCTTTCTTTTTTTTATTTGGCCCTCAACCAAAATAAGTTTGACACCCCTGACTTAAAGAATACTGTATATGTATTTAATTTCTGCATAGTAGTAAACTCTTTTCTTGTTTTCAGATCCCACCATGCAAATCCTCTATGCTTGTGATTCGTGCGGGGATAAATTCTTGGATGCTAGTTCTTTGGCCCAGCATGTCCGCATCCACACGGCCCAGGCTCTCGTCATGTTCCAGGCAGATTCAGACTACTACCAATACACCACAACCACCACTGTGGAGGGGGAGACCAGCCCAACCTGGCAACCCACATCAGTGCAGGTGGAGGAGCTGGTGCTGAGGCCCGTGGATCACGAGGAGGGGGCTCAGACAGACACTGCGGCTCAGGAGGAAGATGCTGCTGCTGAATCAGAACTTGAAACACAAATTGAAATGAAGACAAAAGAGTCGCAGAACAGTGGGGAGGGGAGTAACCAAACAGAGGACATGGACTGCGCGAGTTAGACGAAGGAATTATGAAGCCATATGACAACAATAGTTTTCTGAGATGCAAACTGGAATACAAACTTATGGAAAAACCTTGCAGCTGTGTGTTTATTATGGATGTTGTACTCAGATGTGATGTCTTTTTTAATTTGACCTTAATTATGTACAAAAATAGGTTTACATAAGGTCTATCCTGCTGAGCGTGCATTCCTGGCTTTCCTATATCAGGTCACTGTTGTGTATGGGAACTCTGTATATGAAGACAAGATTCTGTTTCTGGTATGGTATTTTTAAACTAGCAATAAATAATTATGTTTACACTTAATTGGATCACAATTGTATAAATGTGTGTTTAAAATTAATTTAAAGATTGAAATACTGATGTGCAAGGCATGTGTTTATGTTTACAGTTTTTATTTTATTTATTGACTATTCCATAATAATCCCGTTTGCATCAAAGAATCATTCCATATAAAATGTATTTTCTTATCACTGAGAATCGTATTTTTTGTGGTTCCGCTGTTTCCTGGGTCTACGAAGTCGTGATGCTATTGGTCAGCTTGGACGCGTTCTGGTCTCTGATTGGCTGAGAGTCCGGGCTCAGCGTCAGCCACGCTTAACGCTGACGTCGCCTTCTGAAGCAAAATGGCGGCGCTGTCAGCAGCATCGCAGCGGCTCGGACCAGCTCTGTGTAGAATAAAGAACGTCAAAGCCCCGAGAAGACGGCTGCTTCTGGACAACACCATGCTTCTGTTCATGTGTTTGGTGACTATGGTCCAAGCTGCGTCTGCGGACGGGAAGACACTGGTTCTGCTGGACAACCTCAACACCAGAGACACCCATTCAATCTTCTTCCGCAGTCTGGCAGGTCCGCGATGAACCTGATCTGTTTAATGTTGTGGTTTTATGTCGTGGAGGAATTCGCCGTTTGCAGAATATGTGTTTGTTGTAACAAATGTATAATCTGTGCACGTCAATGTGTCTAACATCAAGATACAATTGCAACACAACAAATCCCCTTAATGTGTCTTTTCTCTTTCAGATCGTGGCTTTGACCTCTCATTCAAAACAGCCGATGACCCCTCCCTCTCCTTGATCAAATATGGACAGTTTCTATATGACCATTTAGTAATTTTCGCACCATCTGTAGAAGGTTTGTCATCGCCATTTGTTTAATGCATTTCCAATACACACAGACACACTTTGCCTGAAGCCCCCGCTGAAAGACACTATACCATCCTCCTGTGGACTCAGCACCTGCAGGAGGATCAGTGAAGGGCTGGGGCTGTGTGTCCTGGGTCCAGCTCTGTTCCCCCTTCCTCCCACCCACTAATGGAGTAAGGGGTATAAAGTGAATGGCATTTCTTATACACGTGTAAGTCATGTTACTGTGTGTTTTTTTTTGCAGACTTTGGGGGAAATATCAACGTGGAAACCATCACATCCTTTATTGATGGCGGGGGCAATGTTCTTGTTGCTGCCAGCTCAGATATTGGTGCGTTTTTCACCTGACAATATGTATTTTGTAATAATTTCACCGTGATTAAATAAAAGTTTGTCAAACCATAGGGGACCCTCTGAGGGAACTGGGCAGCGAGTGTGGCATTGAGTTTGATGAAGAAAAGACTGCTGTTATTGACCACCATAACTATGACATATCTGACCCTGGAGAGGTAAAGATCTATTTCCAAGTTTAATTCAACTCTGCCATTTTTTTTTTTCAATAATTTGTGACATCACATCTTGCAGCACACTCTAATCGTTGCTGATCCTGAAAATCTTTTGAAAGCTCCCACTATTGTTGGCAAACCTAACAACAAACCAGTCCTCTTTAAAGGAGTGGGGTAAGTTAGTAATAGTAGGACAGAAGTCTTTGTTTGAATTAAAGGCATTTTTTAGTAGATTTTATGAGTTGTTCCTTTTAAGAACCGGTTATCACTCATCTGTTCTACAGCATGGTAGCAGACCCTGAAAACCCCCTGGTTTTGGACATTCTTACTGGCTCCTCCACGTCCTACTCTTACTTCCCTGATAGACCAGTTTCTCAGGTAATCTTTTGGCACCGTTGAGCATCTTTACCAGATGTTTTTTCCCCCCTTACAAATGTTATTGTTTTTCTAGTATCCCCATGCTGTTGGGAAGAACACTCTGCTCATCGCTGGACTCCAGGCTCGCAACAATGCTAGAGTAGTTTTCAGTGGTTCTCTGGACTTCTTCAGTGACGCTTACTTCAATTCTGCAGTGCAAAAGGCCAGGCCTGGATCCCAGAGGTACATTATTTATTTATTTGATCAGAAACATTACACAGCTTACATTAGTCTAGTTACTATAACCTGCCAAGTGCAGGTTATAGTATGAGATGCATACATTTACAACTGTAAAACAGGTTTGTATGCATTGAGTGACACCCATTTCAATTCTCTTCCTTGTTTTGCTTTCCTCAGGTTTGAAGAAAATGGAAACATGGACTTGGCTGAAGCACTATCTCGATGGGTGTTCAAAGATGCTGGGGTCCTCAGAGTGGGGGCAGTCACCCATCACCCTGTGGGAGAGACCTCTCCACCTGCTGCATACACCATCACTGACCTTGTGGTGAGTTATAACCGCCCTCAATGCATTGTCTGCGAAAAAGTTGAACAAACACCAGCGATACGTGCAGAGCGGTGCAGTCTGTGACACGTTACACACAAAGAATCTGTGCGAAATGTGAGCAAAGTCTATGGAGAAAACAAGGCAAAATGCCACAAATAAACCACAGTGTACGAAGCATAAAGGCAGCGGAAATGTCTCCCCTATTTCTAATAATTGAATTATTCGAGTTATTAGATAAATCGTTTCAGTTCTGCATTAGTTTCAACTGAGGTTAATATTTACAGTCGATGGTGCATTATAGTTCAGGAGAAGAGGTTAGACTCTATAGAGTTTACGTCACGGCGTGTTTCTTGCAGATTTCCTTTCTTCTCTAAGGCCCTGTCCACACAAAGTCAAGCTCAGGCCTAAACGCAAAAATACTTTATCAATCCAGTGTATCGTCCATACGAGGCCGGCGTTTTGGGGGGGTGTAAACGAACATTTTTGAAACTAGGTCCCAGAGTGGAAAGATTTCAAAACTCCGTATATGCCGCTCCGTGGTTACTGCCTCTCCGCAATGTATCTGAGACGCTTGCGTCATCGCCCCGCCTCTTGTTAAAGCACGCATGCGCCGCACTCAGAAAATAATGACAACAACAATGTAGCTTGTTGGTTTTGTAATCCAGTGTGACCCGAAGCAACAGTTCAACCTCATCGTCCGTCCATACTAATGTAGTATCAGCTCGCCCACTCGCCATGTTGTCTGTTTACAAAATTCCGCGCATGCCCAGTTCCCGTCACGGAAGTTTGGGCTTGATCCCGTCATTGCGTCACAGCGCCACCAACAGGTCTGGCATAGTTTCACAGCGTTTTCAGGCGTATTGACTACATTCATATGGACGCACACATTTACTGAGCTAACTCCGTGTTTACAGAAAAAGTTTCTGAAATTATAAGCGTTTTGTCTTCGTGTGGATATAGCCTAAATGTATTTTTGTCTTGCACAGGAATACAGTATCGTGATAGAGATGTTGGTTGAAGGCCGCTGGGTTCCCTTTGATGGAGACGATATTCAGCTGGAGTTTGTGAGGATCGATCCTTTTGTCAGGACTTACCTCAGAAAGAACGGTATGTGTTCTGCCCATGATTCATGCATTTTGCCTGAATTTACCTAAACTGATACATGTATACAGGGGGCTTGCACAGGTCTTGAAAGTCTTTAAGTATGGAATTTTGAAACAGTTTTCCAGACCTTGAAAAGTCTTGAATTTTGTGTGAAAGTCTAGTGGTAGAATTTGACAGTACGCTCAAAGGCATTGTGAAAAATGCACTTGTTCATTGAATACTAGCCTGTAAAAAACGGGCACAATCTCAACCAATGAAGTAGTCAAGTACATAAAGAAAAATATATATATAAAAATATGAAAGTCTGGAATTTTAATTTGGAAAAAGGGCAAGCACCCAGTGTATATGTCCATCGTCGCCACCAAACAGAAAAACATTTGGATCATTCTTGTGTGACTTTGTTTTCAGGAGGTAGATACAGCGTCCAGGTTAAACTACCAGACGTTTATGGAGTCTTCCAGTTCAAAGTGGATTATAATCGACTTGGATACACACACCTTTACTCCTCTACTCAGGTGATTTATTAGATTTTGTTGTGGAATACTGTCTAGATCAGGGGTGCTCACACTTTTTCAGCATGCGAGCTACTTATAAAAGGATCAAGTCAAAATGATCTACCTACTACAAAAATGCAAATCACATATTTATTTCAAAAAATATTCTTTATACCTACAATGTATGTTTATGTACATGCAAAACCGCATGAGCCAATATAGCACAACACAACACAATTACCTATGTAAATTTTTTGTCATTACCCGAGTTTACTCTTATGACTTGCACTGAATTGAATCGGCCAGGGATGCATAGTCCGGAAAATTGGTGGTAACTCGCTGACAAGTTTGTCGTTGTTTAGCTTTCCTGCACTGAGCGCGGTTGTTTGCGCATGTGTAGTCAGTTGTTTGCGCAAGTGTCAGTAAAACATTACTGAGTAAAACACAGATGTCATTTGACTGTGGTGCCATGTCCATGTGCCATGCCTGTTTTTTTTAAATCCAAATATTTCCCCTCCTCAGTTTATAAAATAATTTGCATCCACACATCTGCGTTATCAATCACATTCGTAACATTCCAAACATGTGCGTCTCTTACGTCCTGTCCTGCGTTGGGGAAAAACACAGAAGTGGGCGGAGCTTTGATGCAGACGCCGGTAACGGCACTTTTACAGTCATAGAAGACACTCAGAGTAAAGACATATGTTTACAAGCACTGACCCCGTCCTCAGCCCTGGTTTAGTCCTGGTTTAGCCCTGGTTTAGTCCTGGTTTGGTTGTTTTCGAGCGTGAGTCCCCGCGATCACTTTGTTGCTCTCTGATGTGGAGCGAGGATGTTCGCTGCTGCGAGCATCTCACAGCGAACAGTTTTTAAGGTAGTATGATCCATGCTTCAGTGATCAGAGGAATTTAGGGGGGTACCTTGGCGTGCGAGAACGCAAAACTCCGGTTATCTCTGTCTACACACAAATGCATTAATGGATTTTTCAAAAATCTCCACTTTGCCCGGAGTTTTTTGTATATATTCGTTTAGAATGTGTAATTTTTTATTTATTTAATGCGATCTACCAATACTACCTTTGCGATCGACTGGTAGATCGCGATCGACGTATTGAGCACCCCTGGTCTAGATTTTGTTTTTGCCTCTTGATCAATAACATTTTTATGGTCTTGAGTAATGTTTTCACTAACTAGACATGTCTTTTCTCGTTGCAGGTGTCGGTGCGACCTTTGCAGCACACTCAATATGAGCGTTTCATCCCCTCTGCATTCCCATACTACGCCAGTGCCTTCTCTATGATGGCCGGCCTCTTCATCTTCAGCATAGTCTTCCTCCATATGAAAGAGAAGGAGAAATCGGATTAAAGAAAAGTATTCCAGATTGTTGGGATTACACATGTTCTTTTCAGGCAGAAAGCAAGGACTGCAAGATTTCTTTTTGTAAAAGTCGTTTTGTGGGGATCGACATTTAAATATTGGTTGTGCTTTTTCTACCAACTTTTCCTGAATACAATTTGTCTGCACAAGATGAGCTTTGAAAAAAGTCAAGCAGTTGAATAGTAGATTTTTTTTTAAATGTTGTTTTGGGGGATTTCTGTCATAAAAATTGCACTGAATATGCCAACTGAGTTTTGTCAAAATTTGTTCATGGAAGTTGGTCTTGTCAGAACAATCCATCCATCCATCCATTTTCTACCCTTTAATCCATTTCTGGGTCAGGGGGGTGGCAGTCAGAGATGCCACCCAAGTCTCATAGCACCAGCCCCTCACTGACCCTCTGCAGGTGGTGAGTCCACAGGAGGACGGCTGCTCTGAGTGTGAGCATAGCCTTGATCTTTCAGTGGGGGCTTTGGGCAAAGTGGGGTTAAGTGTCTTGCCCAAGGACACAACGACAGCAGTCATCAGTGGGAGTCGGTGGAGAAGGTGTAGAGGTGGGAATTGAACCCACGACCTTCAGGCCTTAAGGCCAATGCTCTACCAACTGAGCTACTGTCGCCCCTTGTCAGAACAATAAACATCTTTTTGGATTCCATTTTTTCGTTTTTTTTAAATTGAGTGACTTGCCCTCTCGCTTCTTGGTAAGGTCCTGGGTTCAAATCCCAGTCGGAACAGGGCCTTTCTGAATGGAGGTTGTATGTTTTTCCCGTGTCAGTGTAGGTTTCCCATACGGCTAAAAACATGCACAATGTCTGGCATGTGCCTCCTGTATGGCCACCTCGATCCCATCTGTTGTAAGAAGAGACAAATGTCCAGAACAATTGCAAAGCGCTTTGTGACTGGTCTTTGAAACACGCTATATAAATATCGGAGGATTTTCACAAATTTAAGGAAAGGACAAAACTTTCTGGTCTTATTTGACGAGTATCACCAGAATGATTGACAATTGGGAGGACCAATAGTCTTGATGATCCACCCGGAAGTAGTAAATCCTCTTGTATACTTAACGTTCACTTTTTCACAGGTAAAAGTTTCTTATTTTATTCTATTTTTTGCCAAAATATTAGCCCAAATAAAAATAAATGAATAATAATTTAAAATAAAAATGTCTAAACTTTCCTTTCCCGCAGCCAGTGGTGACGTCATAAGCCCTCGCCGCTGACCCAGTCGAAGCCGCTAGCACAAAAGTCACAACAACACTCCTGATTAAGTTCACCATTGTTCTCTTGACCTGCCCATACTCTGAGAACGAGTCGAAACGGTTCAGCATTGTTCCATTCGTCACTTTAGAATGGATTCTCGCGGCGAAATGTAAAGGTATTTGGCTGCGGCTTGAGCAGAGCTAGTGGCTAATGCTAATGCTAATGCTAACTTCCGCTACTGCAGTCAACGCGGAGTGATATATGCCGCCTTTGCTACTGCCGTGGATGTCAACCTTATCAGTGCACGTCAGCCAGGCTTCGGGACAGGACATGTACACAAATCAGACTCATGGGACCCTAACACGTCTGCACCGAGCTGTCTGGATGGGAAGACACGCTTGTTGCACGTAAATTCACGTTAGCAAAACAAGAGCAAGTCATCTGACAACAGGAGCCCAGCCAACAACTGCTCAGTGATGGATCAACTCAAAGTGAAAGACAGAATACTGGAAAACATCTCCCTCTCTGTTAAAAAGGTACGTCCAGGTCATTCCTATTCGCCTTCACAATACTATAAGGATAGAATGTAGCTTATAGTCATTAATGGTAGTAAAGAAGAAGACTTTGTAGACCGTAAAGGAGAGGTCCTGCTGGTTTTTCCTTCCTGCTGCTGTCAGACTGTACAATGAGAACTGCTAAGCCTGTACATGTCATTCATCTGTAAATAAGTACATACTGCAACTTCAGAGTGTCACTTTATCCACTCATTACCCTGCTCTATATGTGCATGACTTTGCACTGTAAGTAAGTAAGTATTTATTTATATACCGCCTTTTCACTGCAGATCTGAGTCTCAAAGCGGTTTACAATTGTTAATTTTGGGCATTTGTCTCTCACTCCACACAGAGATGGGAGCGGGGCCTGTACAGGAGGCGCATGCTAGAACTATTGGACATATTTTTAGTGGTAGGGGAAACCGGAGTACCCGGAGGAAACCTACGCAGACACGGGGAGAACATGCAAACTCCACTCAGAAAGGCCCTGGTCCGACCGGGATTCGAACCCAGGACCTTCTTGCTGAGAGGCGAGAGTGCTATCCACTCAGCCACCGTGCCGCCCATGTATATATATATATATATATATATATAGATATTTTGACAGTTTGAAAGCCTGATATTGAAGCATTTTTGGGTAGCTAATAAACATAGCAGTTACTTATTTTGTGTACTCCCTGTGTGCCCTTAATACTGTCCTGTATGTGTACTGTACCGCTGAAATTTCCGCACTGAAGGACCAATGAAGAATCTTTTATCTAATCTTATCTTGTCCATTGTCTTTAGAGAGAAGGACAGCTTTCAAATATCGGGGATACAACACCTGATTGGCCTTTTGACTTGTCCTATTGACCTTCTTACTAGATTTTTCATTCCTTGGCCTAGATTTTTTGATTGTCTTTGTTTAGATGGACCCTGAGACCTGGAGAAAGCATTGTACTTTTACAGAAGACACTGGAGAAAAGCAGCTGTCAATTGATTCCTGTTTATTATTTATTGGACTTGGCTTTCAGCTTCATGTGAAACTGTCGGCTAACATGACCGACTACAAATCATCCATCATAATACTTTTGTTCTTATAGATGAAGAAAACATGAAAACACACACTGTTTACACACTGAGTCATGTGTCGTTTGTCACAGGATTTACAGACTTTGCAACAGCTACTTGTATGTACTGTGAGTGTGTAAAAGCATAACAGATGTTTTCTTCAATCTTAGTCTTCAGAGATAAAAAACAAAACAAAACAAACCTAACCATATGGTGATTTGACTCTTCCTGTGTGTTCCTTACTATATGTTTACGTACTGCATCTTTAAACATTTGAGTGTTTTGGGATTTTTAAAAGATAAAATGAACTTGATAATTACTCTTTTACTGTCTGATACTTTTGTGGCTTGAACCTGAGCATTGAAGAAAACAGTGGGAAAAGGTCTAAGGTTTTGAACATATAAATAATCTATAGAAATATTGTTCTTTGCAGTTGCAGAGTTACTTTGCCGCTTGTGAAGACGAGACCCCAGCGATCCGTAATCATGACCGGGTCCTTCAGAGGCTGTGTGAGCACATCGACCATGCTCTGCTCTACGGGTAAGTGAAGCCACGGGACGCTTTCAAATAAGGCCCAACATCCCAGAAGCCTGGACGAAAATAGTGTAAAACATGAAAAACTGAAAAATCTGCTCTGGTATGTTGCCCCCAAGTGTCTTTTCCCAGACACAACAATTTTAAAGTCCAAGTCACGTGAGCAAAAGCTGTCATTACTCAAACTGTAAATATGCAGTGGCTCAGTTGGTAGAGCCTTTGAGGTTGTGGGTTCGAGCCCCCACAAGACTTTTTCCACTGACTCCCACTGCTGTCGTTGTGCCCTTAGGCTAGACACTTAATCCCCCCATTGCCTAGAATGAGTCTGGTGTGTGTGTGAATGGTTGGTGGTGGTGGGAGGGGCTGATGGCACAGACTGGTTGCCTCGCTTCTGTCAGTGTGCCCCAGGGCAGCTGTGGCTACAGTAGTAGTTTATCCCCACTGTTGAATGAATCAAAAAATCGATGCATTATTATTATCAAATACATACCTCCACATACATACACATATATGCATGTATATAAGTGTATACATATATACACACACATGCCTACATCTACCAACATAACTGTAATATCATCAGGATCGACCCGTCATAAAGTAAAGTGTGTAACTATGGCACAAATTTGTTAAAATCTCATTATTAGAGTTTTGATTTTCTCATTATTGAAAAATGGAAAAAAACAAACCATTTCTTGCTTGTTATTTCTGACACACAAATGCAACTTTCTAAGACCATAGTGCTGTTGGAGTGCTGTGCCGTACAAAAAGTCATGTATTTTAATGAGATGTCCATTGAATATGATCGTTTTTGTGTGTGTGGATGTGATCAGAGATTTGGGCTGAAGCTAAACATTTCTCTTATATGTCTAAATGTGTGTCTAAATGCAGCCTTCAGGACATCTCTTCAGGTTACTGGGTCCTCGTCCTCCACTTCACCAGGAGGGAGGCTGTCCGGCAGATAGAAGAGCTGCAGCACATTGCCACCAACCTGGGCAGAAGTAAGAGACATGCGCCATGTTGGATAAGAAACAGAAAGCAAAAGTATCTGTGTCAGCACTGTCATCTGTTGGAAGCTATAGAAACTGAAATCCAGAATAATCTTTCATTGAGCCATATGTACAAACCACAAGCTTCTACATTGTTCAGACTCACTATAATCTCAGAGGAATCCATGTCTATTACAAACAAAACGTTAAAACAAACACCAAAGGTCGATGTTTGGAACAGTCTGGATGACACATGAAATATGCCATATCAGTCAAAGCATTCAAAAGAAAATTTAAAGTTCTACCCACTTATAAGTAATGGATAATGTATACTTGTATAGTAGGCAGGTCATTATCGGAAAGTTAGTACTGTTAATTGTAAACGGAAATCATTTAGAAAAACATGTTTATAATGTAAATATCAGAATCCTTTTTATTGCCATGTGAGTAACAGGAAGTCACAAACTAGGAAATTGCTTTGACTCTCAGTGCAAACAAGTTAAAGCAGAATAAAAACAATAAGGCATAAAAAAAATCTACATAAAATTATGTATTGGACTCAAAAATATGCACAAAATTCCATTCTGTATTTCCATGTGCTCAATAACACGGCCCAAAGACTGTTCCTCCTCACACATGCAACACCTGCTCTACTAATTACCTGCCTTAAATACACACAGGTGTGACAGTATCCAGCACTAGTGACATAGGCCCAGTCCCAACTCTCGCACTTCCACCTCGCGTCCCTCATTTGCGCGTTCCTGATGATGGGTGCGACTGCGTAGGGCGTCCCAATTCTCCAGGGAGGTCTTTGGCCCCGCCCCCTTTGCGTCCCTGATCCACACTTTGCCGTAGCCTGCATCTAAGCGGACTCTGGCGAAGGATATTGCCCATAATTCTTTGCGGTACACACCAAAACGTCGGGAAAATGTATTTAACTCATTTGGTTTAATACGTCAAACTAAATAGTAACGTTGTCTGCAATTGACGTGTCCCGCTATTTTCACGTTCCCAGATGTCTATTGCAGTGTCTCCCAAAGTGGGGTCCGCGGCCCCCTGGTGGGCCGCGAGGGTACTGCAGGGGGGCCGCGGGAGGTCATAAAAAAAATAATAATAATATTTGTTTGTAATATTAAAATATTTGTGTTCATTATTTGACTTGAATAATCCACTGTAATCATTTTTGTATTACAATGTTTGTAGCAGAGGCTATTTCCCCAAAATAAAATAACCAGAAGAGCCTATTCTTAATGTTGTCTTCTTGGTTATTATTTTGGGGGGGCCACGCAGACCCGTCAGATTTTTAAGGGGGCCTCGGTGTTACTGAGTTTGGGAATGGCTGGTCTATTGTATCTAATATTTAAGGGGATTGGTTTGAAGCCATATTTTATCTAGCCACCAGATGGCAGCATTTCTCTCTGAATGGTTTGAAAACAGGATTTTCTCAGATTTCTGGTGATTTCAGTAAAACCTCCCTCTACTCTACAGGGGAACGAAACAAGCTAGAAACACAATTATTTTTGCTGATGAAAGTAGACGGTCCATTCTTTCAGAATCTGGTTTTGGATTTCAGATAGTCATAGTACACAATATTCTGTGGGTCTTGAAAAATTATAAAAAATCAGAAATGGCTGGCAATATGGGAGTACCTGTTCTGAAATAGGCTGGCAGTCCATGAGTTAAGTGTACGTTTTGAAATATATATGCAGTACGTGTGTAAATAAGTTTTGCTCTGTTACTGGGAAAGAAGCATAAACGTCTGATGAAGAATTACGGAAATTGTATGTTAACAATTTATAACTTTTTAAAGCAAGCGTTCATATAACATTCAATTTAAACAGTTAGTTACCGACATTTAAACATACAATTATGCAGCTATCTCAAATTACAAATAACCAATATACATGTATTTTAACCTGTGTGGAGCAATTCATTTTGTTTCCCAAAGGGTCAGACAAAATGACCTTTAATTATTATAAAGTTTAGGTCTGAAAATGACCATCTCTGACAAGTCGATGACGTAAACTGCTCTCAGTGTGCACTGTCCCAATTCCGCCTTTTTTGCACACTTTAACCTGCCACTCCAACCCTGGTGTGCACTTCGAACAAATGCACACTTCATAGAGGTGTGTAGGGTGCAGTGTGGGCGTTGGGATTGGACCATATAGAGGCTGGAGGTACATTTTGGCCTCTACATTCATGTTTATATATTTGCATGTTTAAGTATACACTATAAACACAGAAGGAAACATGGACAAAAGGATCATGTGAACTTCAGAATGTAACTATTGTAACATTTCTGCTCAAATAAGTACAATAAAATCAAGAGTTATTTGTATTTGAAAGAGCATATCAAAGCTGAAATAAGGTCCAATAATGTTTTATTGTGATGAGTTCTAGGCCCATCCCTGTGTGTATGTTGTGTGTTTGTGTGCAGGTCGTGCGTGGCTCTACCTGGCGTTGAGTGAAAGCTCGTTAGAAAGTTACCTGCGCCTCTTTCAGGAGAACCAGGCCTTATTACACAAGTATTATTTCAAGTAAGATCACGTCACACTTTTAACAACAGATAAACTTTCTCACTATGGAGACAGTTAAACTGTTGAAGTTGTCATCGGGAGAGTCATCAGACTGATAACTAACAATGGGCATTCCACACTGTGTTTTTATGATTAGATAAGAGAGACCAGAGAGTGAGACCAGAGAGAGTGAGACCAGAGAGAGTGAGACCAGAGAGAGTGAGACCAGAGAGAGTGAGACCAGAGAGAGTGAGACCAGAGAGAGTGAGACCAGAGAGAGTGAGACCAGAGAGAGTGAGACCAGAGAGAGTGAGACCAGAGAGAGTGAGACCAGAGAGAGTGAGACCAGAGAGAGTGAGACCAGAGAGAGTGAGACCAGAGAGAGTGAGACCAGAGAGAGTGAGACCAGAGAGAGTGAGACCAGAGAGAGTGAGACCAGAGAGAGTGAGACCAGAGAGAGTGAGAGACCAGAGAGAGTGAGAGACCAGAGAGAGTGAGACCAGAGAGAGTGAGACCAGAGAGAGTGAGACCAGAGAGAGTGAGAGACTGAGAGACCAGTGAGAGTGAGAGACCAGTGAGAGTGAGAGACCAGAGAGAGTGAGAGACCAGAGAGAGTGAGAGACCAGAGAGAGTGAGAGACCAGAGGTCCGTGGAGGAAGTGCTGAGGTCAGAGCAGCCATTTTCACCTGAAACACCGTCTCCATGGAAACAAAAGGACAAACTGACATAAACTAATGTTATACTGTCCCAGCTTCTCTGTGTAAACTGCCTAAAATATGATAGTGAAGAAAATACAAAGTGTGTAATTCTAACAGAAGACATGGTTTATTCTCGATGGTAGAACGCAACATGGAGGAATGGAAACCGTCCAATCAGCATTCGCCACGGTGCCAGTATCTTCAACCTTAAGATTAACCAAAACATGTTGTGGAAAAGTACTGCCTTGTGCATATTGTTAGAATGATGAGCTTAACTTTAACCACAGCTGCTTCAAAGTGTCATGGAATCTCTAAATTAGTTCTAAATGCAGATTAAAATAAAATATACGTTATGGATCTTAACCTGGAGTAATGTACATGCTACATTTTCCATAGATACGATCACTCAGATTGTGTTAAAGACAGAACTAAAATGCAGAATGAAATGGATCCAAAATCTTTACATAATTGAACTACATAATGTTACTTATTGTCATTACTTAGGGCCAGAGGTGTCCAAACCGGTCCAGACCCAACAGGAGCAGAACAGACTCCTCCCTTTTTCATCAAATCTTCAGGTTAAAACTGAGCTTACTTGAGGAAATGGGCGGAGTCTGCTCTGCTCCTGCTGGGTCTGATCGAAAACCTGAAGCCACAGTGGCCCTTTCTGGACCGGTTTGGACACCTCTAACTTAGGGTAAGGCTTGGGCACTTCCGTACAGCCCTCTTTATGAATGTTTTAAAATATAGTGTCTGTGTTGATCTCAAGTCTACAAATGAAGTCCATGTATCTATCTATATGTTGCCGTAATGTTTTATGCTACGCTAACTGTGAAGCTAATGTGTTAATGCCACAGGAATGCCCTAGTGTGCAGTGACGACCACCTGACCCTGTTCCTCACTCTGGTGTCTGGGCTGGAGTTTATCCGGTTCGATCTGGAGTTGGTGAGCCTCCACATCCCTCCGTCACGTCTGTCATGTTGTCGAGCCTCGTCTTACTTGTCTTGTGAACTCCCCTCAGGACGTCCCGTACCTGGATGTGGCGCCGTACATGCCTGAGTACTACAAACCTCACAACCTGCTGGACTTTGAGGAGAGACTGCCCAGCTCCGACAGCATCTCTTTGCACTCCTTCACCTCTCTGAATTCCACCAACTTGGAGTGGGATGATAGCGCCATCGCCCCGTCCAGTGAAGGTTGTATATGATTTGTTATTCATAGTTTTAAGTTGTAAAATGAGGTCAGATAAGACGGACATTATTGATCTCACACTGGGATAATGGGTACAAGTTGTGAAATGGTATAGGACCTCAATTCAAATAACTTTATTCATCCGTGAGGAATTTCATTTACAGACAGCACCAGCGGGAGTCCATTAAACCACAGAAACTATCAATGTAAATACATTAAAAGAGCCGAAATAAAATTAAAACACATAAGAATGTCTCCAAATCTGCAGTTTTAAAAGGTGAATTGATGCGGGGAGGAAGCTGGATGTGGCTGTTTTGAATGGGAGGGATCTGAACCTATGCCCTGATGGGAGCAGACTAGTGCAGGGGTGTCGAGCTCATTTCGGTCGTGGCCCAAGTTTAAAAATGGTTTACTTTTTTACCATTATATTCATTTGTTTTTCACATATTTTTGTAGTTTGACAAATTCATTTTATTTGAAAATAATTGTTTTCTAGTAGCTTTGAATTCATTTATAACTGGACCAAATATCAAGAATGTAGTTAGATAGGGGCGACAGTGGCTCAGTTGGTAGAGCTTTGAGCCTGAAGGTTGTGGGTTCGAGCCCACCACAAGACCTACTTCACGACTCCCACTGATGTCTGCTGTTGTTATGTCCTTGGGCAAGACACTTAACCCCACTTTGCCTGAAGCCCCCGCTGAAAGATCAAGCCTCCTGTGGGACTCAGCACCCGCAGGAGGATCAGTGAGGGGCTGGTGCTTCATGATTCGCTAAATATGGTCTTTAGGGCTGAATTTTGCCCACGGCCTGAGTTTGACATGGCTGCTGTAGTGTGAGAGAGTGTGGGAGGTGTCTGGGGAGATCTGGGAACCCAAAGAAAGAGTGATTTAACACTAGGAGAACACAACAACTGTCTTTAAACCCATTTCATTTGCCGCCTGAGCTTCGTGTTCATGGTCTGCTCCGGTACAGTCATGTGTTCTGCTTTTATTTTGTTTTTACGTCCATTGAGTTTTGTTCATTCCTCCGTTTTTAGATTTTGATTTTGCCGACATCTTCCCCGTGTTGCAGTCATTGCCGAGTGCAGACTGGGAAGGTGGGCCATGGGTGAACCATTCCTCTGATTAGTCTCTCACTCTGGTGTCTTCTCTTGCATGGCTTTTGGTCTGCGCATGCTGGATGTTGCACTTGTTCACATTTCTATCGGAGTTTAAAGAACTGCTACATTGTGAGATTAATTTTTGAGGGAATGTGACGATGCAGAAACGTAAGAAGTGATTTTAAGATGTGTAGATGCAATGAATGTCTGCTGTAAAATAACAAATAACAAAAGTGCTGCTGTTGTTCTGTTCAGATTTCTGGTTTGTCTTTTCAGTCAAGGCACTGGTCAAAGGTCAACGTGGAGATTGATAAAGACTTTTTCTTGACCCATTATTGTTGGGAATAAGACTTAAATACAATGTGTCTCTCAGTTAAACCCAAATCTTTACCAATCTGGAGTTTGAGTTTTGACTGGTGCCATTGTGATGAACTACATTAACAGACTTTTTACACTGAGCAGCCCTAACAAGCCGACAGTGTGTGTGAAGGAGTAATTCTGTGCTCTTGACCCGTCAGAAGGGGATGTGACCAGCTGTCTGCACTCTGGAGGATCCGACCCTCAGACGGTCGTGAGTGACCCTGTGGTGGCCTCCTCGTGTCCCGTCAAATCTGGGATGTACCTCTCCCCTCACAGCCCCACGTCCAGACACAACCCTTTCAACGAAGACTCCGACACCAACAACACGACCTCTGCGGACATCACCCCCGTCCATGTGGCCAGTCACCACAGCACGGGCCCCGACGAAGACATGGACCTCAACAGCAACGAGCTGGAGGTCATCAGGTACTTCCCTCTGACTCACACGTGCACTGATGTGACGTGCACTAATGTGACGTGCACTAATGTAACATGCACTAATGTAACATGCACTGATGTGACGTGCACTGATGTGACGTGCACTAATGTGACGTGCACTAATGTGACGTGCACTAATGTAACATGCACTGATGTGACGTGCACTGATGTGACGTGCACTGATGTGACGTGCACTAATGTGACGTGCACTAATGTGACGTGCACTAATGTGACGTGCACTAATGTGACGTGCACTAATGTGACGTGCACTAATGACACGTGCACTAATGACACGTGCACTAATGACACGTGCACTAATGACACGTGCACTAATGTGACGTGCACTAATGTGACGTGCACTAATGTGACGTGCACTAATGTGACGTGCACTAATGACACGTGCACTAATGACACGTGCACTAATGACACGTGCACTAATGTAACGTGGTGGTTGTATTTGTCTCTTCTGCAGAATGGCCAGAAGAAGGAAACCAGCCAAGAAGCGCAGAGGGAAAGGCTCCACAGACTCCAGCTGCAGCATCCACAACTCTGTGTCCTCAGAAAACATGGAGCTGGGGCTGCAGGAGAGCACAGACTGCACCATGGACTGCACCATGGACAGTGAGGGAGAGCGGAGGAGCAAAGCAGGGACTGAGCTCCTGGAGGAAGAGGAGCAGCTGCTGCGGCTGCCAAAGATGGCGGACACCTCCATGGACGGTGTTGGGAAACCTCTGCGTGATGTCATGGACAGGATCAATGGGGCTCTGGATCAGGACGAGAGCTGGGAGCATTTGGAGGAGGAGCATGACTCGGGGCGAGTGGAGCCCACATCACAGCAGCCCTTTCTGGAGGACTCAGCAGGCGAGCCGCCCGACCCGGGACCTGCAGACCGGCCCACTACCCCCCTCACCAGCCCCACTACCCCTCTCACCAGCCCCTACCTTCAGGGCATCACTGAGCCGTCAGAGAAGAGCCTCTCTGCCCCACTCAGTCCAGAGCCTGATTCCAGCTGTAGTGGCAGCCATGACCCTGCAGAGCAAAGCCAGCCACAGACTGTTCCAAGTGGCCATGCGGATGAAGGGGAAGCAGAGAGGAGAGAGAGACCCGAGTTCCAGTTGATCCTGGAGACACACTGTGCAGAGACAGAGCAGCAGCTCAGCCCCTTCGAGGTGACCCATCCAGCAGAGTTCAAGTATGAACCACAGCTTCACTGCACAGTCTGAGGTTTGGACCAATTCTAAAATCTATTCTGTTCATGTCCTGCTAGAGTTGACAACAACCACCTGCTGCTACTGATGATCCACGTGTTTAGAGAAAATGAGGAGCAACTTTTTAAGGTATAGAAAATGTTGTGTAGTGAAAGAAAACCTAAATGTCATCTCGGCTCCGTGGGTTCATGAGCTTTGATCCGTTGCAGATGCTGAGAATGAGCACTGGTCACATGGAGGGAGACCTGCAGCCGCTCTTCATGTTACTCACTGACTGTTACATTTACCTGCTGCGAAAGGGTGTGTGCTCCATCAGATATTCTTATTTAGAACTTCAACTAAAACCTCTCATTATAGGTGCTGCAGAAAAGCCATACACAGTCGAAGATGCTGTTTCCTACAATGAGCTGGACTATATTTCTGTAAGTGGTGTTTTATGAAGTGCTAAACTTTTGCTCTGAGTCTGGTTTCTCACTTTGTTGTCTTGGTGTAGGTGGGTCTAGACCAACAGGCTCTGACTTTGGTTTGCACCAACAGAAGGAGAAAGTTTCTCTTGGAAACTGCAGACGCCTCGCTCACAATGTAAGTCTTTTCCACATAACAATGGTCAGGATTCTTACAGGAGCCTTTATTTCACAAACTAGAACAAAAGGAACATAATGGCCTGTGTTTCCTCCCATGTCGTTTACATTTTTAAAAAAATAAGTTTTTCTTGAAGGACTAGTTTGTGAAGAAAAGATCAAGCTCCATAAGACGATACCTGTTTTTAGCCTAAACCAGTTCTGTTTAGCTGTGCATACAACTGAGGGATTTTATAATTTTATCTCTGGTTTAATGTACTGTGATAATTTATGATATATTTAGGATTTGACGAGTACAAATGTGTCTCCTTATGCCTCTATATATAATTGTCTCATGTTTTTTGTGTAGCTGGCTGCTGTCCGTCATGAATTCGTCGATGGTGAAGGGATGTCGAGAGCCCCCGTACCCCACAGTGCTCACAGACGCCACGATGGAAAAACTGGCTCTGACAAAGTTCGTGGCTCAGGAGTCTCAGTGCGAGGTGAAGGCGGTCGTTTCCAGCCCGCTGCGAGTCTTGGCTTTGTCTCTTTGACCTGACTGTAGCGCTCTGTTTTGCAGGTGGCAGAGGTTTGCATTCATTTGTACTCTCTGGTTCACTGGGAGGACCCTCTGGACACCTGCCTGTCCCCTGTCCAGTCCCCCAGCTCCAAAGGCTCCAGCATCAAAGAAGGCACTGTCCAGTACAAGGCCGGGACCACCTACCTGGGCAAAGAGCAGTGGAAGAGCTGCTACCTCGTTCTCAGGTGTGGCATTGAGGCGCTTTGACAGGTTGGAGATCAGGGGGACCGCAATCTAGCCATAGTTCTACTTTATCTCTCCTGACAGCCAGAGACGGACACTGTTTGTTTACTCTCCTTCGTATGCACAGGTCAAGATTTCATAACAACAAACTCACTTGTAGTCCTGAGTGAGTCTATATAAGTCATGTGACATTAAGTATAAGGCCTAATTAACCCTAAATGTATTGTAAATGTAAATATACCCCTGTATTGTGATTCAAAACCAGATTGCTGGATTCCTGAATTCCCCTACTTTCTAGAACGAGTTTGGATAAAGATTGCTCTCTGCTGTTTTTAAAGGAGCAGTATGTACAAATATGGCCAAAAGTGGTACTGCAGCTTCTCCCACTCTCCCTGACTCAGGTTGCCAGATATGCAGACGAATCCAGCTGGGACCATAACAGCTGAATAGACAAGAGTTTTGTCAACAACAAATCTATAACCAACACCTTTTTCACAAAGATAGAAATCCTGGTTTTATTCCTTGTTTTGTCGTTAATGATTTGAGAATCATAACGAGACCTTTTTTAGTTCTGCGCCACATGGTACTTTACCAGTGAGATTAGCTCCACGCGGTGAGTTCTGGCGCCCGGATCACAGACTTTCTGATTGGTGAAACGGTGGAGGGCGGGACATCGAAATGAAAACAACAAGATTTAGAGGCTGTAATGAAGGGCCCTTTAATGTTGACTTGACATGAAAATCTTACATATTGTTACTTTTTGTTTAAGATAAATGATTTTTCTCATTAACGTTAAGATGCCGGTTTTAAAAAGGCTGTATTTTGTGTGTGTGTGTGTGTGTGTAGCAAAGGAGCTCTCCATCTTTACTCCGAGCAAACAGACTTGACTCCTCTGCAGTCTGTGACCATGGGGTAAGCCTCATCTCTGTCAGACTTTGTGTCTTTGTCTTGCCTTTGACCTTTGTGTGTTGGTTTTGGTTCAGAGGAGAGCACTGTGGAGGCTGCAGACGCTCCAACAGCACCGAGCGCCCTCATGCGTTCCAGGTCATCCTGACAGAGCGCCCCCCGCTGGAGCTGAGCGCTAGTAATGAGCAAGACATGGCTGAGTGGATGCAGCTGCTCTGCCAATCTGTGTCCAAGGGGGTAAGGATCAAGTCCATAACAACAATTTAAAGCTGGGGTAACAAACTTTCAAACCACAGATATAGCTGTATGAAAAGCTCTATAAAACTAGTTCTTTGTAAATACACATGTTATTTTGACTTGAAAAAACCCAGCACTGCCACTTTTTTATTTATAATTTTATCCTGCACAGACTATATTTTTAACCTCTAACATGTTTCACACTTCTGTCTTTTGCAAGATCTGAGTGATTCTATCTGTGCCAAATGTGACATGTACATTTCTCCATCAGAGATCAATAAAGTTTATCTGATCTTCTCTCTGACACATCTTTAGATCATATTCTTCAGACAGAAAAGTTAAAAAAGACGACCACCCACTCCCTGAAGTTCAATAGTAACATACTTTCTTACATGTATGAGACTTAGATCCCTTTTAGACAGAAATGCTGCAAAGCCATTGGCAAAAATGACAGAAAAACGATGTAGTTCTTGCTTGTGGCCAGTGGGGGGCAGTGTAACTTTACAACACGACCTCCAGCTGTAGAACCACTTCCTCAACAACGTCCTCCTCAGGCCAAAGACGGGAAAGAACCAACATTCTGTAACAGCAGCAGTGAAACGAGAGAGACCAGAGAGCGAGAGACCAGAGAGCGAGAGACCAGAGAGCGAGAGACCAGAGAGCGAGAGACCAGAGAGCGAGACCAGAGAGCGAGAGACCAGAGAGCGAGAGACCAGAGGGCGAGAGACCAGAGGGCGAGAGACCAGAGGGCGAGAGACCAGAGGGCGAGACAGAGAGAGACCAGAGGGCGAGAGACCAGAGGGCGAGAGACCAGAGGGCGAGAGACCAGAGGGCGAGAGACCAGAGGGCGAGAGACCAGAGGGCGAGAGACCAGAGGGCGAGAGACCAGAGGGCGAGAGACCAGAGGGCGAGAGACCAGAGGGCGAGAGACCAGAGGGCGAGAGACCGAGAGGGCGAGAGACCGAGAGGGCGAGAGACCGAGAGGGCGAGAGACCGAGAGGGCGAGAGACCGAGAGGGCGAGAGACCGAGAGGGCGAGAGACCGAGAGGGCGAGAGACCGAGAGGGCGAGAGAGCAGAGGGCGAGAGAGCAGAGGGCGAGAGAGCAGAGGGCGAGAGGGCGAGAGAGCGAGAGAGCAGAGGGCGAGAGAGCAGAGGGCGAGAGAGCAGAGGGCGAGAGAGCAGAGGGCGAGAGAGCAGAGGGCGAGAGAGCAGAGTGCGAGAGAGACCAGAGTGCGAGAGAGACCAGAGTGCGAGAGAGACCAGAGTGCGAGAGAGACCAGAGTGCGAGAGAGACCAGAGTGCGAGAGAGACCAGAGTGCGAGAGAGACCAGAGTGCGAGAGAGACCAGAGTGCGAGAGAGACCAGAGTGCGAGAGAGACCAGAGTGCGAGAGAGACCAGAGTGCGAGAGAGACCAGAGGGTGTGGGGGAAGTGCCAAGGTCAGAGCAACTGTTTTCACCTGAAACATCGTCTCCATGGAAACGAAAGGACAAACTGACACCAACTTTAAGGTTTTACTGCCACAGCGTCTCTGTGTAAACGGGGCCTTAAAGGTTAAAGAGGATGTTCTACTTCCGGGTGGATCTTCAAGACTATTGGTCCTCCCAATCCTCAATCATTCTGGTGATGCGTCCAATAAGACCAGAGAGTTTAGTTCAAAAAGTGCAGAGGGAAAATGTATAATAATCCTCCTATAGACCTTTAACTGTATAGAATTGTAAAGCACTTATAGCCTGTGTGGATGTGCAGGTGATCCCCCAGGGAGTGGCCCCCACCCCCTGCATCCCCTGCTGCTTGGTGCTCACAGACATGAAGCTGCTGACCTGCCACCAGGACTGTCAGACCAGCTTCTTCCGCTCACTGGGCGCTGCTGAGCTCTGTGATGTCACTGCGGTCAGCCTAGAGGCCAACAAGGAGTACTGCATTATTGTGAGGACGCCACAATGATAATAATATAAATAAGTTTGAATCATTTGAAAGACATGAAAAATGATTGATTCGTTTTCTTGTGTTAGGAATTTGCTGCAGACCGAAGCCAGTTTCTCCCTCCTTGGGTTTTGTATTTTAGTGGATGTGATGAAAGAGATCGACTGCTTCACACTTTAAACAAAGCATGGAAGGACATTTACCAGGTAATGGTTAAACCGATGGTCATTCAGATTCAGATGATTTGCCATTTGCAGTAAAACCCAGTCTTACCATGTGTAAACTCTGGTCCATGGTCATCTCCTACATGTACGTCTGGTCTTACCATGTGTAAACTCTGGTCCATGGTCATTTCCTACATGTACGTCTGGTCTTACCATGTGTAAACTCTGGTCCATGGTCATTTCCTACATGTACGTCTGGTCTTACCATGTGTAAACTCTGGTCCATGATCATTTCCTACATGTACGTCTGGTCTTACCATGTGTAAACTCTGGTCCATGATCATTTCCTACATGTACGTCTGGTCTTACCATGTGTAAACTCTGGTCCATGATCATTTCCTACATGTACGTCTGGTCTTACCATGTGTAAACTCTGGTCCATGATCATTTCCTACATGTACGTCTGGTCTTACCATGTGTAAACTCTGGTCCATGATCATTTCCTACATGTACGTCTGGGTCTGATCCTAGTGGCTGCAGTTTCCTCGGTTGAATCCTCTCCGACCAATCAGAGAGCGGGGGAGGCGGGTGTTGTAGGTCGGTGTCGGTGACGTCAAGAGTTTGTGCTGAATTTGCTGGTTGTAGTTTGTCGGAGAATGTGAAAGTAAAATAATCTGTTCTGGTTCAATCCAAATATCAAGAAACTGAATCCGGAGCAAGAGGAATGTTTAGTAAATGTCACTGAAGCGAAGATGTTGTGGCTCTACTCCCCACGGGCTCCGTTAGTGGCAAAGGAGATGGCTAAAGCTAGGCTACATGCTTAAGCTAGGCTACATGCTAAAGCTAGGCTACATGCTAAAGCTAGTCATTACATACGTCACAGTAAACTCAGATCCAATGGTTTCAATCTGCAAAAGGAGTTAGCCCCTCCCACCTGTTAACGGAGTCAATGGAGCATAATCCAGACCTTAGTACAAATGAAATGAGTTCAATGGTGTGGTACGACCAGGCTAATAAATCCACATTGGAATACAACAATATTCCAAACTGTTGTATTGAATAAGTGTTGTATAAGAAGACTCAGGACGCAGCCAGGGCTCTGTGATGCTACGACAGTCCAGTTTTGCTAATTGCTAGTTTGTTAGGTGAAGCTAGCGTGTGTCAAGTATAGCAGGCTAACCACTCACAGACTTGAGCCTAATGTAGTTTAATACTTTCACATTTCAAGCTGAGGCTTCGTCACAGACTGTGTTATTACCGAAACACGTCCATGTGCTGGGGTTGGATTCGGTGGAGGACAAGGGGGAGGAGAGTCGGTGCTATTCAGATGCTAATGCTAAGCTAACCTGAATCCTTGACTGCACTTTTTGTTCTACCATAAGCAAACGTTCAGAAGTATACATCTTTCTGCACAGGTGGACCTTCCCCAGACCGCCGTCTCGGACCAGTCTGTCCAGAAACGCTGTGGGGAGGCTCTGGCCCTGATGAAGAGCGCGTGGCAGAGGGCGGACAGTTTGGCGCGAGGCAGAGCCCAAAGGGAACCCTGGTGCTGACCACGCTCGAACACCCCACACACTCCGGCCCTCTCAGCCCATCCGCCAGTGAAGAAAAGACAGTCGTAAAAGCCACTGAAAGAGTCACGTGGAAAGACTGCGCTGAACGTACGAAGACCTCTGACAATCTGAACAATTTTACACAACATTCTTATCTTAAGCCTATATCCAGTGTATAAAGTGCTGCTACGTCACCCGTGCTCACAACAATAATAGAATAATAATAAATAATACACTTATATGGCTTTCTGGGAACTCAAGGACGCCAATGCATTATCCACGCTGCTTTTTTCCGGTTCGTAAATCCAGTGGGATAATTGCTGTAGAGCGGTAAGCACAAAGAAATGTCGCTGTTGTTGTTGCGTAAGTGAAGTTTATGAAAGATTTAAGATTGCACTGTTTGTCCCACTTGCACAGCTTCTATACACTGCAAAAAATGATGGAATTGAAGACAGAAAAATTCTCAAATTTGGCTAAATGTATCTAGATTTGAGCACATTTTGACTGCCTTAAAACCAGATTTTCCAGTGGAACAAGAAAAATTATCTTGTTTTAAAAAAGATACAGGACATTTCTCTCTTGGAATGAGAAATTAAAGCAATAGTTCTTGAATTAAGTCAAAATTCGGGCGTTCTGCTCTCCCAAAATTCCATCCGATGGGCGGGGGAGCGACTGAATTTTGCGTTGCATTATGGGTAACACTTGCCTTCGCAACTTCCGGTTCTCTCTGCCCGGCGCATTTTCTCTAAATGGTTGAGTGTTTTCGTCATTTTCTGTATGCAAATACATTCCCGTCTCTAACTAGTGGCATATCGCGCAAATCATCCGTCCAATTCACATTCTTCCCTCTTAGCTGAACTTCATTCTCATTGTTACCATCTGTCACTCGCACACACAGCCGTTTTCGTTCACTCTGCTCGCTGTCATCTTCTTCTAAATCTTCATAAACACCATCCGCTCGTTGAACTAGCAACAACAATTCCTCCTTTCGTTTTCCCACACTGCAAATACCCTTTCGCTTCAACCTTTCACGCAATTCAGGCACTGTCAATCGTTTGTTGTTTTCGTGAGCCATATTCGCCATTGTATGAAATCAACCGGAAGTGAACTGGGCAACAAACGGTGTCATTTTTTGATCACAGCGCCGCTCAGTGGATGGAATTTTGGGAGAGCAGAACGCCCGAATTGAACTTAAATTATGATTAAAAACAACTCATTTCAAGCAATTATCTCATATTTGATCATTTTTTGCAGTGTAGTGTTATTATTTGACTTTGGGTACATTTTGTGTATAGTATTATTTGGTCGAGCGGATTCGTATTTATCTAATTTTAGTCTTTTTTTTTTATTATTATTATTGATTGTCTCTGGGTTTGCCATCATAATATCAGGGCAGTCCACAGCCAAATGACAACATGATGATATTTCTTAAGATTCTGGGTTGATCTGCTGATGTGTAAATATATACAGTCTATATTTTAAATCTATAAATGACATGTGACTTCAGAGGCATGACCAGCTAACAGTATGATGTACGAAAGAGGAAGAAGAACGGCGCAAAGGGCTGCAGCCTGTAATCATAACTCATTCCTTTTGAAATTAAGTATCTCCGGGTTTGATCAAGTGAATTTTTACGGTTTAGCTTCTTTTAAAATCACACTAAGAACACGCTCAGATGTGTTTTTGTGGATTCAGATGCAGCCAGGGATCATGTTAATGTGTAAGATATCGCAAGAATAGGACAAAAAAACAATGTTTTACCTAAAGTCAGCCATGTTTTCACCGCAGGCTGTTGGCATTTTTAAGGTGGAACTCTGGTGTTGGGGTCGGTGTCAAAAGAAGGACTTATGAGGACATTTACCAAACACATCACAGCCTGAATGTTTCCTGGGACTGGACGCTGGTTTCCATTCCAATGATCTTTTGTGTTTTGCCTTTCTGAATTCAGTCTGTAGTTATTTTGACTTTTGCCTTTTTTTTCCTGCTACTCTCAGGTTCTACCAACAGCCCATTCACGCTCAAGATCATAGTTTGTGGAGGTGAATTCAACACCAATAATTAGTTCAAGAGTATAGGATTTTTGTGGACTTACTTGACAGAGAGAGTATTAAAAGCCTGTGGCCTAAAGTGTTCTTATAAAGTAAAGAATCTGTTACAGTTGCATTATTAGCGATGGAGACGTTTAGGTTCCTGTCTGCATGTGTGAAGTGGAAAGATCCATTGAATTGGATGTAGCACTAATTGCCTAAACGATGATTAAAATATTGTTCTGAAAACCTGATGGACAGAATAAAAAGTTAATAAACCAGTTTTATGTTTTCTGTTTTGCGTTTGAACAAAGTTGATCCATGGTTTACATTCATTCTATGCACATTGTCTCGCAGTACTCACACCCACCACTGGGGGCAGCACAGGGGGAACGTGGTCCATGCATAACAGATCTGGTCCGCACGTGGATCTAGTCCGCACATGGGTGTAGACTTGACATGGGGCCAACAACCTGGATTTTAAAAACTGGATTTGAGCTGGATTCTGGAATTAAAAACGGGTGATGATCCTTATTGAGGATCTGAGATAAACAACATCCATCCATTGGTGGAGCTGAAGTTGGTTGGACGACACTGTCACTTTGGCGACTTTGTGTTTGCAGCAGAGGGCCGCAATTGGCCCGCGGGCCTGAGTTTGGACATGCCTGAATTCGATGATAATGGGTCTTTTCCAAAGACACACCAGGCCAAGTCTCAACAACAAAAAACTCACCACTGTGTATTTTCCTATTTCTGTATTTTATACTATAAATGTTCACTTATTCACAGATATGTATTTTGCTGAGTACATCCAGATTAATCTATTCTCACGATATTGTCTTATTATTTTCAGATTGTTGCTTTATTAATTTTATTTTGTATATACTATAGACTATCTACTGTGACAACACAACTTCCCTCAGATCCTCGGGCAGGTCCGGGTGGACTGGTCCAAGGTCCAGGCTCCGGGTGAGAGGTGACCGAGCCTTCTCCGTCCGGGCTCCTCGCCTGACCACCCGAGGAGATCAGGCTCCATCAGTCTCCTCTTCTAAATCATTTAAAACCCACTTTTATCAAACAGCTTTTAACTGTCAGCTTTAAAAACTTCTCATGTTGTATTTTATCGTCTTCTTGTGTTTCTTCTTTGACTCGTCTTCCTGTATCTTCTATTCTAATTATTTTTACTTTGCTTACGACTGTTTTATTGTATATTTTACTGACTGTGCAGCGCTTTGTAAACATTGTTTTTGAAAAGTGCTGTACAAATAAAACATTATTAAAGTCTAAGTCTAAACACTGCTGGTATAGAAGACAGCAGCTGCACTGGGGACGATGCAGCCGCAGCACTGATGCAGCAGCAGCAGCAGAAGCAGAAACAGCAGAAGCAGCAGCAGCAGCAGCAGAAACAGCAGCAGCAGAAACAGCAGCAGCAGCAGCAGAAACAGCAGCAGCAGAAACAGCAGCAGCAGAAACAGCAGCAGCAGTGGGAGGAGGAGGAGGTGAGCACACACTGTCAGTCCTGATTCTTCCCAAGCTTTGTTGTCCTGTGTCTTGCGTAAAAGTCTCCTCTCTCCCATCACAGCTGCAGGATGCTGAGGCAGAGCTCGGAGCTGCACAGAGGAGACCGGGAGGTTCTGCTGGACCTGGACCTGGACCATGGACCACAGGCTCATACCACAGACTCTTACGGGAGCCTACAAGACAACAGCTTTATTCCACCTCGATATGTGAGCTAATGTGTATCTTTGTTAGCCTCCAAGAGAAAAAAACAGTTTGACCGCCCGCTGCTGCCTCTCTTCACACTTACTGCAGTAAATCAATCCTCATGTGAACTTTTCTATTGTGCTAGTTTAGCCTCAGCAACTGTTTTAGAAAGATTATATATTAAAAGAAATTGGCAATTCAAATATATTTAAACATGCATGTAGCTTTTATGTTGTGATGGTAGGATATGTTTACCAGTCTGTAGATACTTGTTTAACTATGCAAAATGTAAATACTTTAACTGTGTTTCTCAGCTCGCTACTATCACCGCAGAAGATGATCCATGTCCACATGTTGAAGATCGGAACAAACCAAATCTACCGCGGACGGGGAATTACTTCAGAGATGGGAAAACCAAAATAGGTGACAGCCCAAGTTCATGAAGGGTTCACGCGTTGGTCTGGTTCACACGCGTTGGCCTGGTTCACACGTGTTGGCCTGGTTCACACGTGTTGGCCTGGTTCACACGTGTTGGTCTGGTTCACACGTGTTGGTCTGGTTCACATGTGTTGGTCTGGTTCACACGCGTTGGCCTGGTTCACACGTGTTGGTCTGGTTCACACGTGTTGGTCTGGTTCACATGTGTTGGCCTGGTTCACACGTGTTGGTCTGGTTCACACGTGTTGGCCTGGTTCACATGTGTTGGTCTGGTTCACACGTGTTGGTCTGGTTCACACGTGTTGGCCTGGTTCACACGCGTTGGTCTGGTTCACATGTGTTGGTCTGGTTCACACGTGTTGGTCTGGTTCACGCGTGTTGGCCTGGTTCACACGTGTTGGTCTGGTTCACACGTGTTGGCCTGGTTCACATGTGTTGGTCTGGTTCACACGTGTTGGTCTGGTTCACACGTGTTGGCCTGGTTCACACGCGTTGGTCTGGTTCACACGTGTTGGTCTGGTTCACACGTGTTGGCCTGGTTCACACGCGTTGGTCTGGTTCACACGTGTTGGCCTGGTTCACACGCGTTGGTCTGGTTCACACGTGTTGGTCTGGTTCACACGTGTTGGTCTGGTTCACACGTGTTGGTCTGGTTCACACGTGTTGGTCTGGTTCACGCGTGTTGGTCTGGTTCACACGTGTTGGTCTGGTTCACATGTGTTGGTCTGGTTCACACGTGTTGGTCTGGTTCACACGTGTTGGTCTGGTTCACACGCGTTGGCCTGGTTCACATGTGTTGGTCTGGTTCACATGTTGGTCTGGTTCACACGCGTTGGCCTGGTTCACACGCGTTGGCCTGGTTCACACGTGTTGGTCTGGTTCACACGCGTTGGCCTGGTTCACACGCGTTGGCCTGGTTCACACGCGTTGGCCTGGTTCACACGCGTTGGCCTGGTTCACACGCGTTGGCCTGGTTCACACGCGTTGGCCTGGTTCACATGTGTTGGTCTGGTTCACACGCGTTGGCCTGGTTCACGCGTGTTGGTCTGGTTCACACGTGTTGGTCTGGTTCACACGTGTTGGTCTGGTTCACACGTGTTGGTCTGGTTCACACGTGTTGGCCTGGTTCACACGCGTTGGCCTGGTTCACACGCGTTGGCCTGGTTCACACGCGTTGGCCTGGTTCACACGCGTTGGCCTGGTTCACACGCGTTGGCCTGGTTCACACGTGTTGGCCTGGTTCACACGTGTTGGCCTGGTTCACACGTGTTGGTCTGGTTCACACGTGTTGGTCTGGTTCACACGTGTTGGTCTGGTTCACACGTGTTGGTCTGGTTCACATGTTGGTCTGGTTCACACGCGTTGGCCTGGTTCACACGCGTTGGCCTGGTTCACACGCGTTGGCCTGGTTCACACGCGTTGGCCTGGTTCACACGCGTTGGCCTGGTTCACATGTGTTGGTCTGGTTCACACGCGTTGGCCTGGTTCACGCGTGTTGGTCTGGTTCACACGTGTTGGTCTGGTTCACACGTGTTGGTCTGGTTCACACGCGTTGGCCTGGTTCACACGCGTTGGCCTGGTTCACACGCGTTGGCCTGGTTCACACGCGTTGGCCTGGTTCACGCGTGTTGGTCTGGTTCACACGTGTTGGTCTGGTTCACACGTGTTGGTCTGGTTCACATGTGTTGGTCTGGTTCACACGCGTTGGCCTGGTTCACGCGTGTTGGTCTGGTTCACACGTGTTGGTCTGGTTCACACGTGTTGGTCTGGTTCACACGTGTTGGTCTGGTTCACACGTGTTGGCCTGGTTCACACGCGTTGGCCTGGTTCACACGCGTTGGCCTGGTTCACACGCGTTGGCCTGGTTCACACGCGTTGGCCTGGTTCACACGCGTTGGCCTGGTTCACACGTGTTGGCCTGGTTCACACGTGTTGGCCTGGTTCACACGTGTTGGTCTGGTTCACACGTGTTGGTCTGGTTCACACGTGTTGGTCTGGTTCACACGTGTTGGTCTGGTTCACATGTGTTGGTCTGGTTCACATGTGTTGGTCTGGTTCACACGTGTTGGCCTGGTTCACATGTGTTGGTCTGGTTCACACGTGTTGGTCTGGTTCACACGTGTTGGTCTGGTTCACACGTGTTGGTCTGGTTCACACGTGTTGGTCTGGTTCACACGTGTTGGTCTGGTTCACACGTGTTGGTCTGGTTCACGTGTTGGTCTGGTTCACGTGTTGGTCTGGTTCACACGTGTTGGTCTGGTTCACACGTGTTGGTCTGGTTCACGCGTTGGTCTGGTTCACAAGTGTTGGTCTGGTTCACACGTGTTGGTCTGGTTCACGTGTTGGTCTGGTTCACGTGTTGGTCTGGTTCACGTGTTGGTCTGGTTCACACGTGTTGGTCTGGTTCACACGTGTTGGTCTGGTTCACATGTGTTGGTCTGGTTCACGTGTTGGTCTGGTTCACATGTGTTGGTCTGGTTCACACGTGTTGGCCTGGTTCACACGCGTTGGTCTGGTTCACACGTGTTGGTCTGGTTCACACGTGTTGGCCTGGTTCACACGTGTTGGTCTGGTTCACGCGTTGGTCTGGTTCACATGTGTTGGCCTGGTTCACATGTTGGCCTGGTTCACACGTGTTGGTCTGGTTCACGCGTTGGTCTGGTTCACACGTGTTGGTCTGGTTCACACGTGTTGGTCTGGTTCACACGTGTTGGCCTGGTTCACACGTGTTGGTCTGGTTCACACGTGTTGGTCTGGTTCACACGTGTTGGTCTGGTTCACACGTGTTGGTCTGGTTCACACGTGTTGGTCTGGTTCACACGTGTTGGTCTGGTTCACACGTGTTGGCCTGGTTCACACGTGTTGGTCTGGTTCACACGTGTTGGTCTGGTTCACACGTGTTGGTCTGGTTCACACGTGTTGGTCTGGTTCACGTGTTGGCCTGGTTCACGTGTTGGTCTGGTTCACACGTGTTGGTCTGGTTCACACGCGTTGGTCTGGTTCACACGTGTTGGTCTGGTTCACACGTGTTGGTCTGGTTCACGCGTGTTGGCCTGGTTCACACGTGTTGGCCTGGTTCACATGTGTTGGTCTGGTTCACACGTGTTGGCCTGGTTCACGCGTGTTGGTCTGGTTCACACGTGTTGGTCTGGTTCACGTGTTGGCCTGGTTCACACGTGTTGGCCTGGTTCACATGTGTTGGTCTGGTTCACGCGTGTTGGCCTGGTTCACACGTGTTGGTCTGGTTCACGCGTGTTGGCCTGGTTCACACGTGTTGGCCTGGTTCACATGTGTTGGCCTGGTTCACACGTGTTGGTCTGGTTCACACGCGTTGGTTTGGTTCACGTGTTGGTCTGGTTCACGTGTTGGTCTGGTTCACGTGTTGGTCTGGTTCACACGTGTTGGTCTGGTTCACACGTGTTGGTCTGGTTCACGTGTTGGTCTGGTTCACGTGTTGGTCTGGTTCACACGTGTTGGTCTGGTTCACACGTGTTGGTCTGGTTCACACGTGTTGGTCTGGTTCACACGTGTTGGTCTGGTTCACGTGTTGGTCTGGTTCACGTGTTGGTCTGGTTCACACGTGTTGGTCTGGTTCACACGTGTTGGTCTGGTTCACACGTGTTGGTCTGGTTCACGTGTTGGTCTGGTTCACGTGTTGGTCTGGTTCACACGTGTTGGTCTGGTTTACGTGTTGGTCTGGTTCACACGTGTTGGTCTGGTTCACACGTGTTGGTCTGGTTCACACGTGTTGGTCTGGTTCACACGTGTTGGTCTGGTTCACACGTGTTGGTCTGGTTCACACGCGTTGGCCTGGTTCACACGCGTTGGCCTGGTTCACACGCGTTGGCCTGGTTCACACGCGTTGGCCTGGTTCACACGCGTTGGCCTGGTTCACACGCGTTGGCCTGGTTCACACGTGTTGGCCTGGTTCACACGTGTTGGTCTGGTTCACACGCGTTGGTCTGGTTCACACGTGTTGGTCTGGTTCACGTGTTGGTCTGGTTCACGTGTTGGTCTGGTTCACACGTGTTGGCCTGGTTCACACGTGTTGGTCTGGTTCACATGTGTTGGTCTGGTTCACATGTGTTGGTCTGGTTCACACGCGTTGGCCTGGTTCACGTGTTGGTCTGGTTCACACGTGTTGGTCTGGTTCACACGTGTTGGTCTGGTTCACATGTGTTGGTCTGGTTCACACGTGTTGGTCTGGTTCACACGTGTTGGCCTGGTTCACACGTGTTGGTCTGGTTCACATGTGTTGGTCTGGTTCACACGCGTTGGCCTGGTTCACGTGTTGGTCTGGTTCACACGTGTTGGTCTGGTTCACACGTGTTGGTCTGGTTCACGTGTTGGTCTGGTTCACACGTGTTGGTCTGGTTCACACGTGTTGGTCTGGTTCACGCGTTGGTCTGGTTCACACGTGTTGGCCTGGTTCACACGTGTTGGTCTGGTTCACATGTGTTGGTCTGGTTCACATGTGTTGGTCTGGTTCACACGCGTTGGCCTGGTTCACGTGTTGGTCTGGTTCACACGTGTTGGTCTGGTTCACACGTGTTGGTCTGGTTCACATGTGTTGGTCTGGTTCACACGTGTTGGTCTGGTTCACACGTGTTGGCCTGGTTCACACGTGTTGGTCTGGTTCACATGTGTTGGTCTGGTTCACACGTGTTGGTCTGGTTCACACGCGTTGGTCTGGTTCACGCGTGTTGGTCTGGTTCACGCGTGTTGGTCTGGTTCACACGTGTTGGTCTGGTTCACACGTGTTGGTCTGGTTCACACGCGTTGGTCTGGTTCACGCGTGTTGGTCTGGTTCACGCGTGTTGGTCTGGTTCACACGTGTTGGTCTGGTTCACATGTGTTGGTCTGGTTCACACGTGTTGGTCTGGTTCACATGTGTTGGCCTGG